CTCCCCCGCCGTCTCCGTCTCCGCCATATAAAGTTTCAAACTTTTTTTTTTACCAATAGAGTTGCAATCGCAGAGATAATGTCTCTAAACGTGGAGTATGCATTAAAAAAACATGTGTGTATATATATATATATATATATATATATGTATAGAAGTTTGACAGAGGATGAACCCCGCCAAGAAAAGCCAACATCCAAGTTGCAAAACCAAATATTATTTTCCTGTGAATCGGATAAAACTACGGGAACCATTCTCGAGGTGGTTTTTGGATTTGCATGATGGGAACTTTTCTAATCAAATTTGGATTTGGTCCTTTTTCAATGGATTATAACTACACCAATTCTCTGTATCTAAAAGTTTCTAACATTTTTTACATTTATGAATATTTCATGATATTCTCACATTTATTTAAATTGCTATATTTTTTATAAGTATTTCTTATCAGTGTGAAGACTGTTATTCAAAAATTACTATTGATTATTTTGATTAGTTTTTTTACTAAATAAAAAATGGAATACAATTCAATCTTTTTAACTTAAAAAACGATTTAATCCGAAATAAAGACAAATAATAAATTTTTTTAATTAAATTATATGTAACATAACCAAATTTAATATGGTTCAGAAAAATAAAAAATAAATAAATATTAAATTGAAATTGTTAAATGTAAATCAAATATGGCGAAAATGGATATAAAGTAAAAATTAAAATAAATAAAAATGAATACAATAAAAAGTATTCTAATTCTTTATTGTTTTGCACATCGTAGACGTAGATGGTTTATTTATTTAACTATACTCTCCATTATATAAAAAAGAATCTATATTTAATTATCGGGTACCGTAAAAAAAAACACATGTACACGCTTTGTCCTTTTCGGTGTTCTGTATCTTTTTTAACCGTGGCTTCTGAGTTCCGACAAAAGGTGGATAAGATTACGAGTACGACAAACAAAACATGGAAACCAAAAAAGCAAGAAGAATTCGTGGTATTTGAACGGTCCAATCAAAATATCTACATTCCAAATTCCACTTCATATAATGAAATTAATATTTTTTTTTGTGATTAGCATAATAGTGGAGAAGCACCTTTCGCTCTAATTACCGAAAGATTGGGGAAAAAAAAACCCAAAGGAGAAGCGAGGGGCGGCGATTTTCCGAGACCGGAGAGGGCTTCATCTAACCGGAACCCGCTGACTTGGGCAGAGGGTTTGGACCTTCACGATCGATTGTCGAAGAACAGGAAAATGAAAAAAAGAAAAAAAAATTGGAAAACGATCAAAGAAAGGTTTCAAATGGGAAAACGCATTGACTTTGCTTTGGTCTTTGATAATGCAAAAATACCAAACAAACAGAGGCTTAACAGAAAAACTAGATATAGCAGAGCATGTTATCGTCTTCTACAACATCACAGATGTCTCTGTGGTCTGAAACCAGACACAGACAAAAGAGACAGCAAACGAAAAAGGAAAAAAATAAAAAGAAAAAAAGGAAGTCCAAATACGGAATTAAGATTGTATTTTTCTTCCGAGTATTCGTTCTTATGCGTCGGCTTTGTTAGTAGTATAGTGTCATCACTTGATGAAAAACCTGCGATCGTGATATGATTATCATATAATATGAATCTCTCTACCTCCTCTTCCTGCTCCTCCTCCTGGTATATATATATATATGACTTAGCTATACATATACATGATTCCTACTTCCTTGTGTATGCTCTCTCTACTTGTCTGCAACCCGGAAAAAAAAAACCCGAAATGATTTCTGGTTGTTTGTTCCAAGATGATGGGAAGCCATAGGAGCTTTTACCTTTTTATTACATACACCTCGGCAGCCTCATATCCATAACACAAAAAACCTGCCCAATACACACGGGTGAAAAAAAAAACGATACTGTGATATATGACGAAACATCTTCTGTGGATCAGAAGTAAGAAACGAACAGATGTAAGACTGTTATGCATACACTTCACTAACCGTTGGCATTTATGAGGTACAACAGCTACTGCTGCATCATACCACTGAGAGTGGCGGCTCGGGGTTATTGCCAGTAGCAGCCAAGACTGCAACTTTTGCATCGGTTTCAGCAGATTCATCGGTTTTCGTCTGGCCATCATCAGCATCAGCGGCGGATTCCACACAAGGGAAGAGGTTACTAGGAAGAACAAGCTTTATGGTGCTTTCACCGCCCGGTTCAACTGTTTCACTATCATTAGTGCCTTCTTTTGCAATTGAATTGTTATGGTAAACGCTACCTGAGCTTTGCCCCAGGTAAGGATGCGCATTGGCTAGATGGGTATTGCCATTTACTGACAAACCATGAAGCAACAATGTTAATGAGATAAGAATCATCGGCCTCGTTAGTAAACAATAACTAATTTCGATCCTAAAGTGCATAATGTAAATCCACCAACCTTCTAAACCTTCAGGTCCCGGGTTTTCGGATGAGAAAACAGAGTTTTGGTTACTGCATGATGAAAAATAAGCAGGAGATCCCACAGATAAACTACGCTGGTGATGTGGCATTATGCCGTTCTTAAATTCAGGAAGTTGCAGATTTATAAAACGTCTCCTTTCGAGTTCGATGGCTCTCTGCAGTTCAACCTGCTCCATTTTCCTTCTCATCATCTCTTGTCCATCGTAGAGCATCTTTGAACCTACAACATCAAAGACGAGAAGAGGGCCTCATTAAGCGGAAAACCCTATAAACATAACTCGGGAAAGTGAGCAAAAGGCACATATCTGGCTATTGACACGAGATTATTAGCATCTTACAAAAATCGAAATTGATCATTCATTCAAAATTGAAAATTAGGATACTAACCCAGGGGGAAATCACACTGTTCCCTGGGATCAACCCCAGATGGACTGGAACACGGAGAAAATTTCCCTCGCAAAATCTGCTGTTGAATCAGATGCTGCTGCTTCCTATCATCAATAAGGTAACAATGACCCATTAGAACTCGAGAGAGATAGACCACAAAAGGAAGAATTACCAGTAACACATTAAAACCCAAAACAAAGAGATGGCAAAAAAGAAAAATCAAGGGCAAAGGAAGAATCATACCTGTCCAAGACTTTCCCTTTCTCTTTGTAATGTTTCACAAGAACACGTGAATCGCAAATGAAATGGGGATTCCCTCTAGCTAACACGAGCTTCACGGTCTCGGGATGGACAAACGAAACAAATCCGAACATACGCTTCTGCTGGTAAGGAATCCTCACATCTTGCACTGCTCCAAAAAGGCTTCAAGAGAAAACAAACCCATTAACCATCCATCAAAAAGCCGAAGCCACATATTTTCGAATAGCTATCCTATAAACCATAAAACACTATCAGCACAACAAATTAACCATTTCCATCATTCAAAGAGAAACACAACAAAGGATTCAAGAAACATTGTTTAACAGACGGCTGCCTGAAAATACCTGAAATAGTTTGCAACATCCTCGTCCTTGAAGGTGCTATCAGCAGGGAAAGTCAAGTAAATCTGCCTGGAAGCGGAGCTCGACTGATCGCTGAAGTGCATGGCCATAAGTTCGCTCCTCTCAAGCCGCCCCGGGCTGCTGCTCCAATATCTATCATCACCAAAAGGTAACGCACCACCCACTCTGCTGCAAGTGAACACAAAAATTAACTATTAAAGTCACCAAGAAACACAAACTCCACAGTAAGTTTTCACTCAATTTGCAGCACACGAAGAAATGAACTTACACATGCAAAAATGTTGGGGAAAAAACAGAATCAGGAGGATAGTAGCCGAAAGAAAGCACCATGCAATAAAATGAACAAAGAACTAGATCAAATACCAACCACACAAATTTATAACCTGAAAATGAGGAGTATAATAAGTAATAACCCAATACAGAAACTCGAAAAAACAAAGAATCAGATTCCGACAAGCATTTTTTAGGGCATATCAAAGCTATATATTAAGAATGGTAAAGCAGAATACTTGGGCAAGATTCATATACCGGTGAGGGTGCTGATGCAAGAGTAAATCTATTCTCTTCTCGTTTGGCAACTGAGGAACCCTAGCCAAGAACTGAGCAGCAGCCAATCTCTGCTGCTGATAAGCCATCTTCATTCTCATCATCTCCTCTTGCTGCCGCACAAAGCTTTCCACTTTTCTCGGCGAATCGACCATAACGCCATTACCGTCAACATTATCTGGAAAGCCAGCGTGGATAAACTTGCAGCTCTCGCCATTCTTGCAGAAACCGCGACTATAATACATACAAGGCTTGAATCCCGCATCAAAACCATCATCCTCGAACCCGAAACACGCATCTGCCGAGAAACTCCTCCTGTGCGAATGGGTTTCGCCAACGTTGACGGAGTAGTCCAACGGAACCCGGGGATCTATAAATTCCTCGGTTTTCGAAGACGAATCGTCGAGAAATGAGAGGTAATCACCCAGCTGCTGCTCATCAAGTAAATCAGCACCGGTGCCACTGTCACCACCCGCATCTGCTACAGGCCCTTCGTTGTTTTGATGAGAACCAGAGGGTTTTGAGATCGGCCCACTACGAATACCGTCGAGCGAGAGAAAATGGCTCGGTTTGGGGGAAATGTGGGTGTTGCTCCCGTTAGGGTTTGCACTAATCAGTGGCCATGAAGAGTTGGAAGACGGAGACGAAGGGGAATTTCTACAGAAATCCATGAACCCATTAGGGTTACCGCCTCTTCCGTTGATGGGTGGCCGACAAATAGGGTTCAACGGCGAAGGAGACGGCGGAGTTGACGGCGCAGACAAGTTGTTCGACGGTAGTCCCAACTGGGTTTTCACTTTCACAATCATGGACTGCAACACTGCCTCTGGTCCGAGAGCCAAACGCATCAAATCCCTCTCCTCGCAGCCGCGCAAGAGAAGATACCCAATGATCTTCGGCGCGAACTCCGGCTCCAAGCTTTTGATTTTCGACAAAAGCATGGCTGTCGGGTCGCCGGAATCCATGGCTTCTCAGGGGTTGACTTTGCCGGAAGCGGCAGAACACGGGGAGAGAGCGAAAATTCGAGTTTTTGAAACCGAAACTGAAAAAAAAAAATGTGAGCGGGATTGAGAAGATGAGAAGAGAGATCTTCCCTTCCTTCTTCGCTCGCTTCTGTGTTCTTTCTCCTTTCTCTACAATTTCACAGTTCACTCCTCTCTTTATCGCTCATCCAGTGGAAGACCACTTGGGGAAACGGTGCGTGTGTTAAAAACATCAACTTTCTAGGAAACTGTAACAACAAACATAATAAGAAATAATAATTTGCCAATAATATTTATTGCGTTTTGGTAAATGATGATTCGTGCGGTGTCTCTTTGGTAAATTTGAGATTTTTACTGATTCTGGGCGATTGAAAATTGGGAACTTTTGATACATTCAAATCTGATTCTGATGGGTGAAATATATTGGTTTGACAAACAATGGGTTGTGACTCAATTAGGTTGGACAATATTTCCAGGCCTTCTAGACAAATTATTTTTATTTTATTTTTAAACATTTCACCATTCCAATTTATTTTGCTCTCAATGCCCGGAAAAAAGGTATTTTGTTTTATACCCAGAAAAGAAAATGTCCATTGTTATTCACAATTATATTCCTAATGAATGTATGAACATACATGTATAATTTCTGCAGATAATTTATTAATACTATTTATTTTACAACTATTTATAAAAATATTTCAGAATAAAAAATCTTAAAGTGCTGTAAAATCAGTGTCAGAGAGGGGAGAGAGAGATTTTCTTTCTACTTAGCCCACGCCAACTTTTTGTTGCCGCATTCATAGGCGGTGCAATCCACGCGCGATGAGAGCGCGTGAGGTCAATGACTTTTCTTCTCTTCGAGGAATTCACGGGGCACCGAAATTTTCACTACGACTATTTTACTGAAAGGCACCGAACTTTCATGTTCGTCACTATTTTTCACCGTTGGATTCAACTGTGTTCATAGTTTTGACAGAATTGGACGGTTCTGATTCTTCCATTACCAACATTATTATTATTATTATTATTATTAATTATAATAATAATGGTGCTGTCTATTTCTTGGGGTTTCCTGCGGGACCTTTTTATTTGTTGGATTTACAGACTTTTGAAATAATTCAGGGACCACAACAACAAAAAAATGTGTCGGAGAATCTGGAAAATCTCAGTAGGCTTCCGCTGTGGGTTTTGATTAGTTTAGATCCTTGGGTTTTTGAATTGGGTTTGGGTGCCCACCGGTCGGATTTTGTTCATGTATTCGATCTCGGTCCTGTCTTGTCCGACCGATCACCGGTTTCGGTCCGTAAAAGTTGGTAAACCCGAGTTTTAGATATCCAATATTGGAGGATATTTCTAGGTGATGAATATTCGTTTCGGATTCAGTTTAGAAATAATTCGATTTGATTCTTTCAATTTTATAAAAATATATATCAATTATTTATTATATCGTATTCGATTCGGTTCTGGTTCGGTTTTAGTTTTTATTAAAAAAATAGATATTCTTAAGAAAATCAATTTTTCAGATTTTTTAAAATTCAGTTCGATTCGATTTTGGAAAATTTGATTTTTTTAAAAAATATCATTCGAAAATTTTGGATTGTTCGATTCGGAAATTATCGTATTTTTCTATTCGATTTCGAAGAATCATATCGAATCAACAAAACGAAACGATGAATTGAAAGAAAAAGAAAAGAGAACCGGAAAATCGAAACTTCGAATATTCAACTAACAAATACTAATATAAAGTTTCGTATGCTAAAGATCACGTTAATTTCTAATTTCTAGTTTTTATTTATTTATGAAACTTTTATGTATTTTGTTTTCATATTAGATTCGTTTTGTTTCGTTTATTATTCGAATTAGGTCTTGCTTAATAACAATATTTATATAAAAAAGTTATCATTTTGTTCAGTTTTGTTGGTAAAAAAAATATATGATTTTGTTGCATTCTTCATGAATTTCTTTTGTGTTAGACATGTTATCTGCTTTTGCGTTTCTATTTGTAATAATATATATATATATATATATTAGTATATAGTATTTTGTCGTTTTGCACGTGTGTGCATGTATTACATATATATACACACAAATTATAAAATGGTATAAAGGGGTTATGCTCCAAGATTCCGTTCGTGCATTGTCAGGAGGCCATGTGAGGGCAAGAACTTGTGGTGTCCATCTATGATCTCTCTATATATATTCGTGCTATATATATATATATATATTAATTTAGTTTTCTCTTTTTTAATCGTAGAATTCGATTTTTCTCTTATTTATAAAAAAAACTTTGTTCTAATGGAGACTACTATCTATAGAAAATAAGAATTTTATTTAAATATAATGTTATATATTTAAATTCGTTATTTGATCAACATAATTTTTCAATAGTTCGAGTATATATATTTGAAAACAATCCAACATATATAAGATTTACTGCTAACAAAAAAAACAATTCAACATATCACTGAAGATTAATCGATATTTAAATAATTAAAACATAACCAATCCGATTATTAGAATGAACCACTTGGCAGCTTATAATATCAACGTGACAGTATTATGTGTAGTATATGTCTATTTTTTAAATACGTACAAATTTTCTTAGTATAGATTATTATAAATAATGAATAACGACATAACTTAACAAACGTAAAATCAGAGAATCGTTATCCAATGTTTTGTTGTCTTCAATCACAGATATTTAAATTCAACAAAGACAAAATTACGAAATAAAAAAAATTAAAAACATGTTTAATTGAATAATAAGACCTAAAAAAATAATGGATATACGATCCGATCATCTCTACTTCGTATATAAATATTGCATGGAGGTTGTTATACGCATACGGAGAAAATAAGCCACGTATGCATAAAAATGTGTATATTCACCAATGTAGAATTGGACCCACAAGAGTATGAGACAAAAGAGTCCTTGAAAACTTACAACTAATAATCACATGAATATGACCGTACATTTTGCTTTTTTATTTATTTTTTAAACATTTAATAATACATTGTATAATAATTCTTATGAAAACCGACTAAATATATAATATGTTTTAAAAATATATGAAATCGAATTTTAATCGATTCGAAAAACATTCTCCACCAAAACTACTCAAAATTTTACTTTTTTTATAATTTAACTTTAATCATTTATATGAAAGATAAAAAAAGAAAAAGAAATTGTAGTTGAAATTGGCAACCAAAAGAAACCTCTAGTTACATTATTTCATTGTGTTTCGTCAAGTGCACAATCTAATTGGTCTTATAGTTTTCCCAAAATAATAATTAAAACTAAAAGCTAAATGTAAAAACAATGGTTTTTAAAATAAAAACATAAATATTTTATTTTATATATGGAAGTTAAAACATATTGATAATAAATAGTAAATTGGAACCGCGTAGCAAAAACAATGGTTTTTAAACAAAGAGAAAATATTTAAAAACACTCTTAAAATATACTGTACAAAAAAATTAAATAGATATTTTTAAAAAATTAAAGAATATCCATGGAAAAAAACTACAATATTTTTAAGGGTAAATTTATGAATAGAATCTCAAACTATGCAATTACGCTACATACATACATATTAATTTACCATTTTCACTGCAATTTATATTGCACATTTTGTTAATGTACAACCGTCAATCTTATTCACCGCAGTAATAAGGATAATTTAAACAAAAGTAAATCAAGAGAGGACCAACAAAAGACTCTTGGGCCCCCATGCATCATGTACAAGTGCAGTAGTTGTGGTTTCTGCCATAGTTGCAATGAATATCAAGTTGGGGTCTACAAAATTTACACAAAATGTGAAATATTGGTATGCTCTTTAATCAATCTCTGCAAACTTTATCCTTATAAAGTTATCTTTGCACCTCACAATCCCATAATTGAGAAGAAGAAAAAAATGTTACAATAAATATTAAAATTATAAAAGACGAGGTGGGTCCAAATGTGATTTTAATAATAGTTTATTGTACCATAGAATTTGAGATAAATTGCCAAAAGAAATTCTGAAATTAGTTCATGACAGAGAGAGGACCTTTTCAAGATTTTTGGTCAGGGATCTCTAACACAGCCAAACACTGAGGGTTCTTGACTTCTGTTAGTCCCTATGAACCAAACCGAATCGAACTAAACTAAATCGAACTGAACTTAGTTGTAACATCAATGAGAGTGCCAAAGATTTCTGAAAGACTGAAACTTTCCATGGAATGGAGACAAGGGAAAGGAGGCTGGGACAAAACCTACATGCGAGCATCTAAACCATCTGCAGTATCCAGTTGTAGTTGTTGCCTCGGATAATTGGTCAGACACATGCGAGGAGAACGGGATTTGGTTTCGAGGATACTGGAACTCTGAATTCTCTGGTCAGATCTGGTTGTTGAGCCCATCATCATACCATAGACGCTTTAGATCTCACCTTCACAGGCTCCAAAACAAGAGTGTGATGTGTTGTTTCAGGTTAATCATCAAAGAGATCTTCGGTCTCTTTCCCGTGTTTGGACACCCGGATATAGAAACTAGAAATATCCATGAGAGAACCGACTTACATCGCGTTTATATCAAGCGTGCTTGAACAGCTTCATGCTAAGCCAATGAAAGTAGATAGCAACCATTAGGACAGGTAGAGTGAGAGGTACCAAGAGGCAGTAATACCTGAAAGATTCAAAAAGAAACCCGGAGAGATTAGAAAATCCGATGACATATGAAACAAAATTCGTAATACACAAACATTAAAATATGATTCAAAGGAAAAACTACACTATGAGAAAAACGTACAACAGGAGCAACCACCACGGGTTCATCTCTCATGGAAAAATGGAATTGAGTTTCAAGTAAGTGAACAAAGTGTGAACCTTTCAATCAGTGCATAACCTTGAAAGTACTGCTTACTACGTTATTGATAACTAAACAATGAACTTACAGTAAAAGAAACCTAAATTATAGATTCTTTGACAGTTCTACATTACCCGATTTCGGTTTCATGATGATCTAGATGCTCTGACTACAAGAAACAACCATCAGGGTTAGATAAATAGGTATTAGAACTCCGAGCGAGGAGCCGACCAAAACCACGAGAATGACAGTTTCAGTTCTGACAAAATTGAACCATAACCAGAGATTAGAAGCCCTAACCAGAGAGTGTGCATAGCATCACTAGACATAACCTGAAACATCTTCCTTCCACTCACATCATACTACCAAATATTCACATTTCCAACAATCCAAAATTCCGACATCGAGTTCCTCAGCCTAGATAACAAGTACCCTTTTGTCTAAAACACATTACAGTCCACAAAAGTGCAAATTTCACATTGTTGGATTCACCAACGATATACACCACTACAAGCCAGGAAACGTGAAGAATAAGGTACCTGTCACTTTGTATAGCTTGGATTACGGGATTGTCAGAGATCGGAAGCAGCTTAGACAAGATCGTAGTAAAAACAAATCCGAATAATGAAACCGAGCCGAAGATCACGAAAAAGAATCCCCAGAACTCCATCGTTCCGGAAAAACTGAGCCGAGAAAGCTTCATTTCCAATATCTTCCTACTGAATCTACAGCCACAAATGGTAAAGAAACAAAATTTGAATTTCATTCAGGCAATTCATCGAACACGTAAGTTTCATCGCCTCCAAAAACTCCCGATCGATCTTAAACAACGACGTAAACCCAAGATTCGAAACCCATATAGAGTTTCCGAAACTGAGGAAGAAAGAACAAAGGACGCAAATTCGATAACAATCCAAATAACTCAAGCGAGAAAAGAGAGGAGAAAATCGAATTAGGAGAATGTAGTAAAAGTATTATACAACGAAAAATCTAAAATTCAAAGAAAATTCAAGTAAAGGAAGGGAAATTCTACTACTTGCATTGATATGGATGAAATGATGTTGCCGAGGAAGATTGAAATGTCGAAAACAAGAATTTAAATTTCATTTACCTAATTTTTTTTTCAAATTTTCGATCTGCAAAAAAAAAAGTTTTGAACTTTCCGAAGTATTTTATTAGCTTATGCTTCTTGACGACGTCGTTTAGGCTTGAAGTCCGATGAGAACTGGCAGTCGTTTCAAAGCCCATTGGAAAACTCCTTTGCAAAGAAGCGGACTTTTCACTTCAGCGAGGGAGAGGCAGGTTTCTCTGTAGAGAGAGAGAGAGAGCTTGCAGGCTGAGATCAGCTATGGCGACGGCGGCGGATGCGGAAGCGGTGGATTTCGAGCCGGAGGAGGACGATTTGATGGACGAGGACGTTGGTGGGGACGCGGAGGCATCGCCGAGGGCTGCTGGTCAGATGCCGAAGCTCAAGTCCGCCATCACCGGCACTGACTCGTTGGCGGCGAAGAAAACCAAAGGGCGAGGTTTCCGTGAGGAGCCGGATTCGGACCGACAACGCCGACTGTCTTCCCGTGACTTTGATTCCCTCGGCTCCGATGGCGGTCCTGGTCCTCAGAGATGTGAGTTTCTGTAGTATATATTGTGACACAGTGTTCCGTAGTTTCGCAGTTATATTGTAGGTTTGCGCTATGGATTTGGGGTTGAACTTGTCGTTAGTGGTATTAGGGTTTCTTTGATATGTTTTGATCTTGGTTGCTAACTAGGGTTTGAGAGATTTTCATGTGTAAAAGCTAGATTTTTGGATAGCCTTTTCAGGGTATCCGCTTATATCGAATTCAGAATCGTTTCATGGGCAACGATTGAAAAACAGAAACTCTCTGCTGGCGAAATGGAGTTTGTCCTGAACATGTTTGATGCATGCAGTAAACGAGTTAGGCATCTTCTTATAGGAATGTGAATAGCGTGGTTATTTTTTTGACTTTCTTCTCTGGAAATATCTTATGAACTTAGGAAGCACCGAACATCAAAACTGGGCAGTGACAGGTCTTGTCTATTAGCTGGGTTTTGGTATGGAATGGTTGATCGGAGACTAGAATTGAACATAAAATGTTCCTCACTGGGAATTCGTTCATTGAATCAGAAAAGGGTTTGTTTTTGTGTTAAGTTGTTATGTAATGGAGACTCAGACTCGGTTGTCAGGGCTTATATTCTCGTCAAAACTTTAACGCTGTATCGTGCTGAGCCTTTTCCTGTCTAGAACCCATGTTGGAATTCATGAGTTTGTGTTGGTAATTTTATCTTCAATCTTGTGCAGCGGTTGAAGGATGGATCATTCTGGTAACTGGAGTACATGAAGAGGCACAGGAGGATGATTTGCTCAATGCTTTTGGCGAGTTTGGTGAAATCAAGAATCTGCATCTAAATCTTGATCGCCGCACTGGGTTTGTTAAGGTACAAACTGTTTTTTTCCTTACTCTCTAACAAAAAAAGTTACTATCATCTAACCTTGGATCATCGGTTCCAATTTAGGTACTTTTATGCATTTGTATTTTAATTGGCAAGCCTATTCGTGTATCACACTTAGGATCTGATCCTCTGATATAACGAGTATGGATATTCTATTAAGTGGAAAAGACAATTTCTTTTTGGATTGCGGTTGATTTAGCATTGAAACATTCTGTTTTTAAGGGGTATGCGTTGATTGAATACGAGAAGTTTGAAGAAGCGAAAAGCACAATTTCCCAGATGAATGGGGCGGAACTTCTCACGCAGACAGTCAACGTGGACTGGGCCTTCAGCAATGGACCCAGCATCGGATCATACAGAAGGAAAAACCCGAGGTTCCTCTCATACCCTTTCTTGATCCGTGCTCTTCATACGGTCTCATCTTACTATGAACATTCTGCTTTCTTCCTCTTTATGTTTCCACCCTGATTCAGTTGGTTGCTTTTTTTTATTTGCTTCTCTCCTAACTCATTAACATTGGTTGCTATATAAACATTTGAAAAGCTTCATATTTTTAATTTTTTATGACTAATAGCTGAGTTTCTTCTAAGTAATAGGCCTTTGCCTTTAGCTAACCGAAAGAACCTGGATTTCTTTTATCTTATATTCAGGACGGGGCGAACTCATAGGTCAAGGAGTCCCCGGAGGAGATACTGACAAGTTCTTGGAGCTATGGAAAAAATTGTCTGGTCATATTGTTTCTTGTGTAAGATTCATATCCCGAATTGGATCGGTTATTTTCAGTTCTAGTTAGGTTGTTTCTCAGTAATTCCCAACGCTTTCTTTGTCGTGCTTTTGGAGCAAAAACCGTTCTGCCATTTGCTCGGTCTTTAACATACTCGAATAGCTGTAACCACAATCACTCCAGGATTTTGTTTTTCTTTCGACTTTAGTGATTTCTGCAAGTTCCAAGATTATATAATGTTTTTAGTTCGCACGCATTTTCCCAAGAAGTGGCATGTGCTGCATTGGTACACAGTAGATTATGAAATGGGTTTTGCATGGTTTGACTTAAAATTGTATAAAAACTGTTAACCATATAGATCCTTATTCATTACATCTACTGGAGTTTGCTGCCATATGTTACACTGTTCTTTACATCGTTCGTTCATGCTGATCAGAGAAGAAAAATCTAAGACTGTATATACACCTGTATCATCTACTTCTTCCTCTACTTAGGTTATTTCCCACGTTTATGTACATGTATATGACAAGAAAACAGCCATAACTTGTTACCTTGGAACTGTTTTGTTTCGAATCTACCTTAGTTTTCTGATGCAAATGCTATCCAGTAAGTGTCGTCACATAAGCTTGTCGGTGTGCTGATGATACGTGACCATACCCATATTTTGTTCTCCATTCTCTTCATTTCTGCTAACTGCAGTTAAGAAAATTTCGTTTCAATCTTCAATTTTGCAGCTTTCTCCAGCCATTTCAGTTTACTTTTCTGATAAAAAATAGCATTAAGAGATGAATTCAGTGCTTACCCTTCCGTCTTGTAGCTCGAAGATGGCAGAATTTTCGGTAAGCAGGATCGGTCTAGTAGGTGAAACCTGATCAAACGATCATGTTCGGAAAGATAAGCTCGGCTTTGATATGATGCTGTTTTACATTTTGAGATATTGATGCTACTAACCTTTGTGTCACAGTTCTTGTTGGCATTGCTCTGATCTTCTGCATTTTTCAGTGAGCTTTCCCTGAAACTGATGTCTACACAGATCTCTTCTCCATATCTTCCCCGGGCTCGCTCGTGATTTCCGCTGTTCGAGTTTGGGAAACGACACCTCTTCCATCTCCACGTCGTCTCGTCCATATACCGCAGGTACACGTTCCCGTCGGATCCTATCAAAAGCAACTGGTCCCCTTCGAACCACGGGCCGGGAGGGCTAACGATCGTCACGCTTTTGGACGGCTTTCCATGTTCTATCCAGTCCCACCCGTCGTTCCAGTTGTATTCGACGAGCCCTCCTTCTTCCGAGACCATGAAAAGCGACCCTTTCAACGACTGTGGCGTCGGCCTCGTGGCGATTCCGGGCTGGTGCGATAGAACCAAGTGCTTAGATTGGTAATGCTCATGCCACAGCTCAGTCACCTTGTTGTACTGATATAACCGCCCGTTGCTTCCTATCGCAAACACGATGTTCTTCCGGAAGAGCTCCTGATCCGCGATCGCCGCGATTTTCGTATCCCGGGGATGTTTACAGTCTTTCCACTTGAATCTCCTCGACCCGACCTGCGATTCCGGAAAGCTTTGTTTAGTCATAACGTGGTTCTCATTAGGGCTGCGCAGGAAGAGAAAAACATAATCGAATTTCGGGACCTCCACTCGAACTCCGGTCGGGTATACAAATTTCGGATACCCGACCGGTTTACAGTGAAGAAATTCTGAAAATCAGATTTTCGCGTAAATTCGATCATGGGGTATTATCCGCGGATATCCGAATGAACATTGAAGTAACATTTTTAACCTTGGACTTTAGATATATTTCATACGAATCTACTAAAAATTCGGATTCATGTTTGGATAATTCCAAAATATTGAATATCCGACCAAGCCATTTTCTAATATGTATTTATTTTGAAAATTTTGAAACATAATATTTAAACTAGAATTCGACACTTACCTGAAAATCATATCGTACCAAAACAAATATCATATTTCCAAAAGTTTGGATTCGTGTTCGGATAACCTAAAAAACCTGAGATACCTGACTTGTACGTTGTACCCAATCGTTGGGGTAGGAATTGCCATGGACATTTCAGTATTCGGTTCGGTTTAGTTTCGATTTAAATTTTACTAAGAAAATTTTAGATTTTTTTAAACAAATTTTTGGTTTTCACGGTTTTTTAAAATTTCGCCTCGATTTGGCTTCGATTAGATTTTTATTAAAAAAATTTTAGATTTTTTTTAAACAAATTTTTGGTCTTCAGAATTTTTTAAATTTTGGCTTCGGTTTGGTTTTCATTTTGTTAATTATTTATTTTTACTACATGTACATTATATCCTTTTATACCCGCACTTACCGTAAGCTGCAGGAGTTTTCCGCTTTTGCCAACGAAGAAGAGCGCGTCTTCGGCCGTGAGTTTCGCACCTTTTCCGGGCATTACATCCCAAGGCGGCCCTCCGGTAACTTGCTTACCCTTTCTGAAGGAGGTACAGTTTACCCACACGAGCTCCTGGCCGCATCTCTCCCTTATAAGCAGGCTCCCATGAGCGTCGACAAGAAATAAACTTCCGTTATAGTTTCCGAGCACGCCTTTCATCGGCGTGGAGTGCTCGTGCTTCATCCAGAACCAGACGTTTTCGGCATTGATGTATTCGAACGTCAGACCGTTGTCGGTTACCAGGAAAAACGACCTTCCTTGATGTGTCATCCTCAACCGGTATTGTGAGTTAGCGGTTTTCCCCGGGGGAGCGGACGTTTCGGAAGTTTTCGTCTGTTTCCCGACATCCGAGGCGGCTCGAGGTAGGTAATATTCTTGTACTTGTGAGCCTTTTCTCCTTCTCGAAACAGCAGTTCTTGTCGATTCGTCCTTTATACCGATCATGCAGTTTGATGATCCGCGCTCTTCTACGCAGTATTCTGCGTTCCAGCCTTCGCTTTCCGGGGCGTCTAAGGTTGTCCAAACATACTTTGCCGACGGTTTTCTCTTGGTGTTTGACGGATCATTCGGCCCGAGATGTTCACCGCCTTGTCCCGACAGGTGAAGTTCCCCGAGCCGTCCATCATCCAGCGGGAAAACTATCCTGCCGGCTTGTAATGGTAACCCTGCAATACCTCTTGCAACTTTTGCATTCTCTGGATGCATATGATTGATCCACGCATCCGTGACTTCGTTCCTTCGCGGCGATCCTGCTTTCACACGGAAAACAAATCCCGGGCTGATGTATACAGGTTCAGAGGATATTTTCTTGGTGTTTGTAATGCCTGATATTGAAACTCACCTTCATGCTTCAGCATCTGATACTCGAAAACCAATCCAGAAGATGTTGAGAGAAACAAGCCTGAGGATAATACCTCGTTCTGTTCATCTTGCAGAACCCGAGCGATCGATGTGAATCGATTATTTCCCGGGGGCCGGCCGTGAATTATCCATTTCCATTTTCTCTGGTGCAGTCTCCTCTCTACCAAATCACCTCCCTGGATCCAACACAAGGCTAAATCAGATTACAGACAACATTCCATTGGGACATATTTCCCACGTTTGTTTTTCTGTTTGTTCGAGACTTTCACCTTTGTTAGAAGGAATAACGATACGGAGTGATCTCCAACGATTCCATGGATGGCGCATCCGAGCAGCGGAGCTAGAGAAGTATCGTCGGCTTTATCTTGTTTCCGAAGGTGCTTCTTCCATGGCGGTTTTGAGTTTCTGCAATATTGATACAGAACTCCTGTAGAACTAGAACATAGGATCTGTGTTCAGATATATTAAATTACGTTTGATTATGTCTCGAAACTGAGATAAAAGTCTGCATATGCAGTGAGAGAGATCACCTAACGGTAAATATCATGTCTTTGATGTTTGCAACATCTGCAATTGCTGCAACATCTGCTCCCGGTGGCCGGCCATGGTTCATCCATCTGTTCATGAATTTGCATAAACAAACTTTCCGGGTTTACGTTATTTTTCTTCGTACCGCAATAGACACGACCAATTCTCTTTCTCATCAAGCAGGAAATCTACCTCGGAGTTTCGGCGTCGATAAGTTCCAGCAACATCCCGTCTTTCGTGCAGAAATAAGCTTTCCTGCAATCTCAGAATCTTAGTGTGTGTGTGTGTGTATATATATGTTTCTTGATCATTCATCATTCTAAAACTCTACTGACAGAATTCACCTGGCGTCACGGGAAATGACACCGGACTTAATCTTGGAAGCTACACTCTGTTCTGTTTCTTGAGGCATGAACTCTACCCAATTTGGCTGTGAGTTCTCCTCTGCGAATTGCATCTGAAACGCTAAAGAAACATCAGAATAGCTAATCCGAAACCCGGAAACTCGAATAACTCAACGACGATGTTCGTTCTTGTTCTGATAAAGTGATGCTACTTGTGTCTGAATCATTGTTACCTGATACAGAGTTCCTGCTTCAGACAAGGCAAGAATGGTTTGGTTGACTATGTACACAGAGATTGCAGTCCCGGCTGATTCCGCAAGATCATGAGGGGCAATCACCCACTGAACTCCGTTCCAAAACCTCTCGTAGATCGATCCGCTCTCGCCGGTGATCCACAACGACGTTGCGGACATCTTCGTCAACGAGATTCTTCTCCTCTGACGCAGAATGGTGTCTGAATTCTCTGACTTTTTCGCATAACTCTCTTGATCACTACCCTTGTTCTTCCTTTTCCGCACGTGCTTCTCTTCATCTTCTTGAGCCTTTATCGTTTTCCGGATCGAACCCACTTTAGTGCAGTTACCGTTCACGCAAGAGACAAGATCGTAGGGTAGTTCGGCTTCGACCCATCTGTTGGTTTCCTCCTGAAACTCCCAGAATCTGTCCGTTTTCTGCAGAAACTCGTGGTTGGCGTGATGAACAAAGGCGTATGGACATGTCGAGAAGGAGAATCTGGGCAAAGCCATGATCGAGACGAAGAATATGAGCACAGACATGGCTGATCAAAACCCGAACAAAAACCGGACAGAGAGTAGATGTAACAGCTAAACCCCACCCAGGAGGATTAAGACACACATGATTTGGCGTCACCTACAAAGTTTGGAGAGATCTCTGTGTCTTTTTTTATGGCTGTGACCCATCTGGACCATTACCATAAATGCAAGATACACGAACCAGTTTCTTACAATTAGATTGATCTTGTCATATGCATAAGAAGAACAGAATCTCTCTCTCTCTCTGAGAAGTATTTATTTTGTAATTGGAGGCTTTAAAGTGTTTATCTTTAATTTGTGAAGAGCTATGTGGTGATGATGGCAATGCAAGTCCCTCTCGGTTGCTTTTCTCGTTTTTCTTTGTGTTGAATAAATTATGGTTTTGTGATGTAATATTCTATTTGGAACTGTTAAAAAGTAAAACTTACCTCCACCTAATCACAATGACTTTTGATTTTTTTACCTTTCTTATGATTTTTTTTAATTAAATTTCTCTTTTTGTGTATTTTGTGAATCTAATATTGGAATGTGATTGTCATTTTAATATCCTTTTTAGTAGATTATGGGTGGCATTTAGTTTTCCGGTCATAATTGAATTTTATGGTCCAAATAATAATTTAATTTTTGACCATATATTTATGAATCAAGTTACGATTTACTTCCTTCATCGGAAATAGACAAAGGAGGGCGATTATTGTTGCATGAGGTAAAGTATCATTGACTTTCTAACTTCTATTATTGTAAGAATGTTAAATAATAATAAAAATGGCACGCCAAAACCCATGAGGTTATTTCAATTAATTATCATAAATTAAAATCTTATTGATTTTAGGAAATCGTATTTTTATGATGCAGATCTATTGGTAATATTTATTTAGATAATCCAGATTAGCTTACATAGTCAATTCCTTATCACATAAGATATCACAATATTCTAATATCTTGTAACATTTATCTCCGGTCTTATATAAATGACCAAATCGAGATAAGAGAAATTTCAAGTTATCCTCATTAGAGATTTATGTCTTTTTTGTCTTCTTCTTTTTCTTTTTTTGCAAAAAGATATTTATGACTTCGATATTCAATTGTTTTGCACATGCGATTTTGATATTGTAAAATTGAAAATATAAACACGAGATTTGGAGATTATCTAACATATTAGGTTGAAGAGTTATTTACACTAATCCAATATATTTAGGTCAAACAGTTATAATTAGTTATCCATTTATCGAAAAATTTCAAAAAAAAAAAAAACTTCAATTCAAAATCTCAATTATTAACAATCCAACAATAAATCATGTGAGAAAACGTCTAAAAAACTTTCTTAAAAATTATATGTTTAAACCTCAACTACTAAATATCCAAATAAACTCTCTAATTTTATAAACCACAAAACATGTATTTTTATATAATTTCTATATTTTAAAATCAGTTTTGAATATATTATAATCTTAATTTGTGTATTATAAATGTATTATTAAAAATATGATTCAATGTATTAATAAATACAATAGTTTTGTGTTTTTAATAAAATTAAAAATTTATTTGAAATAGCAGGATACTAAGCATATAATTTTTTAAACAAGGATTTGTTGCCCTTTTTTTTAGCGGATGGAGGAAGAGAGAAAGAAACTTGTAGGAATGAGTCGTGTTATAACACACACATATATATATATATATATATATATATATATATATATATATTTTTGGTTGCTATAAATTATAATTTCCTCGAGATCGTGTTTTATGATTGGAAGCAATTCGTTGCCCTTATGCTCAAATTTGCCATGTTGGTGGGTCTTCTTTGTTTGCTGTCCCTTTTGGTGGAATCTTTTACGGTTTATAATTAAAATTCCCCACCTAAATTTCCACGTCAAAGATTCCCATATTTTTCTCTCTATAAATCTGTATATATATATATATATATATATATATCGATATAAAATAAATATTAACAATTTTTTATTGTTATCAAAATTATATTTTTATGATATTTATTTAGATTTTAGTCTATATTTTAATTAACTCGTTATTACATTGTTCAAGTGATTCAAATCATAAAAATATTTTAATCTGTATGAAGATTCCCATAATTTAATTTAAACATTATTCACTTCTAAAGTTTAAATTCAATGTTGATTGCGTTAACCATGGTGGACACCTAAGAGCTTTTGGTATTACCCTGGTAGATCATAACTAAATTTAATTTTCGTATTTTACTATAAATATAAATTTTATTTTATATTATTAAAATTACGAAAACATCTTAATTTTCTTAGAATATTAAACTCTCTCTCTATCTCTCTCTCTATATATATATATATGCTTTTTTCTGGAAATTTATTAAAGTACTCATAATATTTATGAAAAATACAAAATTGCCTTTATTTTTTTTTTACTAAAGCATTTGGATTGAGATGTCTAAGGATACTCCAGTAATTTTTGGGTATCCAATTTTTTTGTATAATCAAAACCTATGTGTACCAAGTGGTAACTAAAACTTACAGCACAAAAAAAAAAAGTTTTGCACTTTGATACATGTTATCGCTTACTATTAAAAATATATATTCAAATATATAAATTTTAGAATTATATTAATTTACCTCAAATGAAAAACATACTAATATGTAAATTTTAGAATTATGTTGACTATCCATAGTTTTCAATTTGCACGTTTATAGTACTTCTATATATGCCCCGTGCATTGTGATCTCTAACACGTTTTGGCCCTCGATGTTTTGGTTGTAAGCAAAATTTATGAGCGTATAAGTAATCTGTTTGAGTAATTCTTGTATTAAAATCGAGAGAAAGGTTTTTCATGCATTGTTTTTTTAATATATTTTCAATGATTTTTTTTTTGTTAAAATTTTCAATGATTGCCCTTTGGGGCCAGGTCAGTTGGTTGGGAGCAGGGGACAACTCCTTGAGGTGGGGGTTCGAACCCTGCCGCCTCCCTTCCTCTGATCTGCTCGCATGTCAGCCTATCATAATGGGCTGATTTACATCCTACGCGTGTGTTGCAGGCTCGTGCGCGTGGGTTTGGGGTTTGACCCGCAGGCGCCTAAGCCCAACTACGGCCCGAGCGTTAGGCGCGCCTGGTGGCCAGGTCCGGATAGGGTACTGTTAGGCGCGGATGGTAGCCAGTTCGTCTCCGTTTGTAAGGGTAGGTAGTCACGGGATTCCCCAATGTATAAAAGAAAAATTCAATGATTTTAAGTTCATACCTAATTACGATTTTTTAATCAAAGATTGGTGCAACTAACAACTAATTAATTTAAATTCATAAGTTCATTCAGGGGTTAATGTAACTAATAACTAATAACTACCTCCCGGATTTGACTAAGACAATGGATCACAATCAAATCATCGTTTGCACATTCTATTTTAAAATTATATAAAAAAAATCAATTTAAATGTTATTAAATTTTATCAATAATTTCATTCCACCATGTAACGAGCAAGACATTGGGGTTTAAACAATCATATGATGTTTATTTAATCGAAGGTTCTTTGAGTTATCCTAATAATATTGAGGCAAATTCGAGGAATTGAAAATGAGGTTTCTTTCAATTTAAAAGTTTAAGGGAATAATTAGAATCTATGAATAATCTGAGGACTTAAATTAAATAATAAGAAAAGAGCCCTCTCTCTCTTCGTCCACGACGGAATACGGATACAGGGTTTGGAAAAACCCTTTCCTTCGATCCCGTTCCCTCTCCCTCTCCCTCTCCGAGCTCTCTTCCTCGTGTTACTCTGTCACCAATTTTCGCGCCGCCATATCCGCCGTCTCTATTACGGTTAGTTCTCTATCTCTCCGTCGCGACTCTGAGTCTGAGTTCGTTGTCTCCGGCAACTTTCTGGCCTCGGAGAACACCGACCTGCCACTGAGCCTTGATGGCCATGACGGTGCGTGTTAACCCCAGTGAGTGGATTCACTGAGAACAGGTTCAGTGTGTTTCTTGTTAAGTGTTCTGTAAAATGATCAACTGAACCTAAAAGACGTTGCAAGCTTCTGTTTTTTTCTCTTGTTTTGTTTTGTTTCTTTTTAGAATTGATGTTGGAAGCTTAAGACCTAGAGAACCAGTTTGCGTACTTTACGTGACAGAGGTGTACCATTTTCTGTCCGCATATTATAGACTAAGCCGAGGATGTTTTGGTTTCCAATTTCTGTCTGAACAGTTCGAGTTAATTCGACCTTCTCTAGGCGTGTACCATTAACGTTAACTATGTGTTTTGCTTGGAAATATAGCGACATAATCAGTTTTGGGTTTTCATTGGTTGGCATTAGGAAGATTATGCTGACGAAATGCACTTGTTCTTTATTAGCTCCGATCGAAAGCAGGACCATTTCGTGTTTCTAATTTCTGGGGCCAAATCATGTTTTTTTTTCTCTGCTGGTTTGTAGTTGAATGTGTGAAATGTGTGAAGTTTTCTTGTCTTTTTCATACCATATTCCAGTCAGTCCTCTGAGAATCTCACAAGGTTGTGGGAAGAAAGGCCACAGAAAGAATGGAGGGGAGGTTGGCTAATACATGGAGGTTGACTGTAAACGAGAAGAAATTTGTAGAAACCGCATTGCAGTCTGAGCTCAGAGTCGATGGTCGTGGGCTTTATGATTACCGCAAGCTCACTATTAAATTTGGCAAGTCCGTGCTCAACTCCTTTCGCATTCATTCTTGACGTACGAGTTTCTGTTGCTATTTATTCTCCATTCATAATTTCCTGTGCGGTAACTAGTTCTGTTCATATTCCTGCTGAACTGTGTACCGCTTCTAACCAAAGATGTAAATCTTGTGCTGTTCATAGTTTATAGTGTTGTGCATCCATGTGTTTCTGTGTTTTCTTGTGTCATATAAATATGAAAATATGTAATATGTGCATGTTATAGTGTTAACCTTTTGCTTGTTCACTGTATTGATTGATTAGCTTGGGAGCTCTGATAATGTCGTCGGGGACAAATAGTGGCTTGGTTACTTACTCATAGTTATGCACTGGGTTTTAAAATTTACATTTAATAACCAAAGTTGGCTTTTTATGTGAATTGACAGGGAATATGGATCCTCGGAGGTGCAACTCGGTCAGACTCATGTTATGGGTTTGGTGACTGCCCATTTGGTGCAACCCTATAAAGATAGACCTAATGAAGGGTCGCTCTCTATTTTTACGGAGTTTTCTCCAATGGCTGATCCATCTTTCGAGCCAGGCCGTCCTAGCGAATCTGCTGTAGAGCTGGGCCGCATCATAGATCGTGGTCTAAGGTAAGTTGCCCCTGAATCATCTTTGTGTACTGAAAATTCTGGATATTCTGTTTGGCTGTGATGGTTCCATGTTAATTGCAGAGAAAGCCGTGCGGTGGATACTGAGTCACTTTGTGTTCTAGCTGGGAAGTTGGCTTGGGCTGTTCGTATTGATCTTCACATTTTGGACAATGGAGGGTAGGTCTATTGGTCCTACTTTCCTTTGATGTTCACTGAGGGTTCTTCTAAGGATTTTCATTTTTTGCAATCTTTTCTGTAGATTTTCATCTACTTTTTATTACTCAATTCTATCGCAGAAACTTGGTTGATGCTGCAAATATCGCTGCTTTAGCTGCATTATTGACATTCAGGAGGCCTGAATGCACATTAGGAGGCGAGGACGGTCAGGAAGTTACAATACACCCGCCTGAGGTTAGCAATAACTGAGTTTAGTGAACTCCTTGGATGAGTTTTTAAAGTTTGTAAGGATTTTTATTTTCATCTCATTTACATGTTCCGTCTTTCGAGTTTGATATTGCAATATTTACTCTTGGAGGTTTTTTTTTTTGTTGCAGGACAGGGAACCACTGCCACTGATAATACACCATCTTCCGATAGCTTTCACGTTCGGATTCTTTAGTGAAGGGAACATCTTGGTAAGTTATCTATCATATAAATGAGTTTACTGCTTTTGTTTTCGGTGATATATTCCCAAAGAATTATGTAACATGCAGGTGATGGACCCAACCTACATTGAGGAGGCTGTCATGGGTGGAAGAATGACAGTCACAGTTAATGCAAACGGTGATATATGTGCCATCCAAAAACCGGGAGAAGAAGGCGTTTCTCAAAGCGTTATTCTTCATTGCCTCCGGCTTGCTTCTTCTAGAGCTGCTGCAACTACAAAGACAATAAAAGAAGCTGTGAGGTTCTTTTAAGTAGTTTACTTCTTCGTGTTAAACTAATTCAGTGGCACTTATATCCTGTTTTCAGGAGAGTTTGATAGTGTATCATAGATATTTTTTCCTATCGATTCCGGTTTAGGGTTTAGGGTTTAAAGAAATTTTATGAAGTGCTCACTACATTCGGGTTTGTCATTGCATTCGGCTTCTCCACATTTCTTCATGGTGGTGCACTGATGATATTTTGTAGAATGTCTTGATGCAGCTTAGAAACTGACATCAATGGCGGCTTCATTGTCCCATGATATAGGTCGAAACATATGACCGGGAAAAGGCCTTGCAGAAGGTGAAGCGCCGTTCTACTTCTGAAAAATCGGGAGATTCTGGGCCTATGGTTGCTCAGAAAGAGGAATATTTCGATCAAGATAAAGCTGAAGAGATTTCCAGGAAACATGTCGAGAGATTGAAGCTGTCTTCTGAAGTTAGTGGCACAGCGAAAGATGACAACGATGAGAAGACTATCAAATCTTCGAAACTTGGAGGCGTTAAAGAACAGAAAACGGCTCCGGGTAATTTCATCGGTAGGCCCTCAAGTTGGTGAGTACTATTTAACTTTCTCCTATTCCGTTTTCGTATTCTTCTTCGGGAGGAAAGGAAAACTTCGATTAGCACTTGTTAACTCCGATATCTTAGACTAGGAACTCCTAATACAAGCACTTCTCATATTCCATTTTTTTGTATTCTCGTGTTTTCTATTCCAACATTCCTTGATATAAGATTCCGGATGATTCCAGGGACCCGTATTCAGAAGGCGTAGACGTTGAATCGCTCAAAGTTTCCCTTGCTTCACTAGGTACAAAGTTTCCCTTGTCGTTCAACGTCTGATCTTCTTCGAGATATCTTCGATCCGAAATCATTGGTTAAATCTAAAACATGGGTGTGTGTTTTCACGGACCAGGCGAAACTGACATGTTTTAACCTCGTCTAGGCACTGTCCAAACATCGACCCGAGGCAAGAAACTGGATGATTTGGGAGGCAATGGGAACGAGAACGGGACCGGGACTTCACGAATGGAAGTGTCTGAAGATGTGAACTCGGGTTCTGTGTCTCAGACAACGAGACCTAGAGATGGAGAGATAACACTGAAGGATGCAGTGAAGCCAAAGAACAAGAGAAAGAAGAAGCCCTCTTCTCAATCCACTTTAGAATGAATCCAAATGTTATTATGCTTTGACCTATACAAAGAAACCCGAGTCAGATTTGATACGACTCAGAATTGCTTGTGGAATTATGATCGAGTCGTGTTTGAACCTGACTCGTCTTGGATAGATTCTGAGTTTGAAATAGAGTTTTGGATTTAGGGTTTGATGTTTGTCTGTTTAACTCGATTCTTGTAATAGATTTGAAACAAGTGATACAGAGACGAGATACGGTATTCTACGCGAAGATATACGGAGACGAGATACAGTATACTTAAAAAACTGGGATAATCGAGGCTTACATTTTGGTAGTTCTAAGCAAAGGGGGATTGATCCGTAGATTGGACGCAATAGCGCGCCTCGATATATACTAAGGTGAAAACCATATATTATAATCTCCATGATTAAATTAGTTGGATCTCTACTCTAACAATCAAATCTCATTGGGCTTTAATTATTCATCAACTTGCGTTATATGGATTATTAATGTCTTGATGTAACAAAACCCACAACAAAATATTTTGGATTAGCAAATGTATCTGTCAAGCAACTAATAAGTGAGAGATTTAATAAATAAAATAAAAATTATTACTATTTTTATTGATAAGAAGTGCATAATACTAATAGTAAAAATTGTAAACCAGACTAGAGGAGATAAATAATTTGAAAAACTATTTTTTTATAATTTTTAGAAAATAAATATTATTTTTTTTCAAAACCGAATCTAAATGAATTTTGAATAGAAGTTAAATTTGATATAGGGAATGACTACCAATTATTATGTGTGAGATATTGGTAAGAAACTAAATCAATTAATTTATTAAATAAGCGGGATGGTTTTCCGAATTTTTGTCCCGATTACATCTATCCCAAATTAATTTATATCATTACATATAAAACATAAAATCAACTCTAAAATTCGACCTATGAGCTTAATAAAACCAATTCGTGTAACTCTTCACTTATTGAAATCAATTTTTGGAGCAAACTCCAACTATTCTCGTTGACATAAGAAACCGAAATCCGTAGAGTTTGTCGATTTTTCTTAATCTCTTCGCACTATTAAAAATTGTGAATATATTATAAAATGACGATGCCGTGCTTTGACGTGATATATATATATATTGTGTGTGTGTGTGTCAGTGTGTGTATTGCCAGTCTTTTTAAAACCATGTGGGCTTTGCTTGATTTGTGACATGTTACGCTAATTAAGATCATTTTATTTAATTCTTTATTTATTTTCTATTATTTAGCAATAGAAAATCGAGAGGGGTCGGAGTTCAGTTCAGCATTGTTTGGTAGGAACAAGAAAATTAGTCTATTAATTAAATGGGTCAAACACAATTAACTATTTCGTCCTTAGTTAAACCTAGCATTTAACGTATAGAATTAAATGACTTATCCTAATTTAACCCCCAATTAATTTAATTACCAAGTAACTCCTTGGGAACATCTATCATTAATCGTGAAAAATACGAATATAAAACTTAAAAAAGACATACATTTGTTTTGCAAATAAATAAAAAAATGCATTGACAAGTCGTTTTAGATTTGGATGCGTGATCTATATAAAATTTAATTAATAATGAATTTTTGATTTGATACAAATATATTAAAATTAAATTTTAAATTTTTATAAATTTCTAAATTTATTTTTATTAAATATAATATAATTAGTATAAATAATCATAACCTAGAATAATGATATAACTCAAATAGCAATAATAAATTAGAAAAATGATTAATATTTGAAAAGAGAAAATGATTTTAAAAGAGTCGGATTGGTGAAATGATTGAGATGGATTTTTCTATATTTCGTTTTGGATTTATATAGAAAATTGTTAACAAATCGATCATAATATTAAAAATAAATAAAAAATCTTAAATACTAATCAGTCTTTTTAAATTGGCAAAATATCCAAAATTTATTATAATCAATTTTGGAAAGTAAATAAAATTGAACAAAACCGACTTTCGCAAATATATACTATTTTGATATATAAACAAATCGTTTTTTTTTTGTTTCTTCCGAAAAAACCCATCGAAAGCTTCAAATCAAAGACTTCCCACATGATTTAATTTATATTCCTTCAATTCAACCATGACCATAGACCTCGTCTCCTTCTTCACCATCTCCTTCTTCTTCATCATCATATTCATCATTCATCACCATCATCATCATCATCATCATCATCTTGATAAGTTTTTTCGATGTCGTCTCCGACTTATCACTCAAACCCTAATCGAAACACAGTCATCTTATGCAAATACTTAGCGTTCTTCGGCCTTTTCGCCGTCTTCTTCCTCGTACTCTTCTTCAACCAAACACTCATAATCTCACAACCTCTCAACACTAACATCTTCACCATCAAATGCCAAGAGAAACAACACCCTTCGCCACTTCCAGACGAGACAGCGCCGACAAACATAAGCCACTTGATGTTCGTTCTGGTCGGGAGCTCAGGCGCTTGGAAGAACCGCAAGACTTACATCGAGTCATGGTGGAGACCGAACGTGACACGTGGCAACATCTTCTTGGACGTCGAGCCATCGGAAGAGTTCAGGCCTTGGTCTCCGACTTTCCCTCCTTTCCAAGTCAACGAAGACATCAGGAAACTCAAGATCTTCCCCAAACTCGCGAACCCTATTCACATTCGGATCTACAGATCCATTCTTGAAACGTATAGGCTCAAACGCGACGAGGGTGTGAGATGGTAAAGTTTTCCTTCTTTTAAACCATTTCGTGTGTGAAACTGAAGAATATATATATATATATATAATGCTGGATAGATGAGAATATTCGTCTGTATCTATTCTATAATGATTTGATATTATATTTTAATTTAGATAACCATATTACTACTAATCTTTTGGTTCGATATATAATGATCTAATGCAAGTCTTCGGACAGGTACGTGATGGGAGACGATGACAGTCTCTTCTTCGTGGACAACATAGTCGACGTCTTGTCCAAATACGACCACACGAAAAGGCAATACATCGGGATGTATTCGGAGACCATAAGATCGAATTTCGCGTTCTCGTTCGAGATGGCGTACGGAGGAGGAGGATACGCATTGAGCTACCCTCTCGTCGAGGCTTTGGCGACCAAATTGGATGAATGCGTTGAGAGGTATCATTTCATATGGGCAGGTGATCAGTTACAAAGTGCCTGTTTGGCTGATCTCGGCGTTAATTTCATCCCCGAGAAAGGGTTTCATCAGGTATATACATACATACATATATATATATACCAAATCTGAAAATATATCCGTTTGGATTTTAGACCGATATCTTGGTTGGAATCACGTATTTCTTCTTATCCATCAATGATCGAATCCCGGCTATTAGAACCGCAATTACTATTCCATGATCCAAACGTTCATTCAAAGAATCTGATAATCATTCAATTTTGTTTATAATCTATTTTGTGACATCTTTTTTTTTTTATCAATTGGAATGTTTCTACTCATAGAAGTATAAGGGCATAGTCTAGAGACAACCTTATGATTGAATAGTCATATATATGCCCTTTCAAAGATGCATTTAAACCTTCATATGTATATGTGTGTGTATGCAATGACAAACATCCCTAATGATGTTGGATGGATCATATATATATATATATATATGATAATTGCAGATGGATGTTCATGGGGACTTATCAGGCCTCCTCTCGTCCCACCCGACGGCTCCTCTGCTCAGCCTCCACCACTTCGACGTCCTGACTCCGCTCCGGCCTGGCTCGGTGGTTCATCTCATGAAGGCAGCCGACGTGGACCAATCCCGTATTCTCCAGCAGTCTATCTGCCACGTCAGACCCATGAACTGGACGTTCTCTGTCTCTTGGGGATATTCAGCTCACGTGTACGAGAATATATTCCCACGTAGCCACTTGATGCGTCCCATCGAGACGTTTCGCCCATGGATCAATGGTACGTACTCTCTCCATTTCACCACCTTTATTATCTCAATAATAACTATATATATATATATATATTAAGGAACATATACCCACCTTTATCTTCTATGGATATCGAATTGAAATTTTGTCGTACACACACACATATATGTATGTATGTATGTATGTATGTATGTATGTATGTATGTATGTATGTATGTATGTATGTATGTATGTATGTATGTATGTATGTATGTATATATGTGATGCATCCTCACACTGTCACACACACATATACGCATATATATGGAGGCGGACTTGCCGAAAATTTCGGGTTTTTATATGATTTTCTGTTGAGAAAAATGAAAGTTTTCTCTATCAAAGAAACCTAAATTCAGATTCTTACATTCGATGTTACTGTAAATGTGTTACAGGGAGACCGCCTGTGTTCATGTTCAATACGAGGCCGGTGTCCCAAGATCCTTGTGAAGCTCCCCATTGGTTCTTCTTCGACTCGATCGAGAACAAACCCGAAGAAACTCGGGTGATTACTTCTTACGCAAGGAAGTTCCCGAGAAACTTACCTCCCTGCTCCTTCACCGGAAACATTTCCGCAGATCCCATCGCCACGATCCGGGTTTTCTCCCCCAAGATTGGCAAGGAAGTAAGCCTTCCCCTTTTCTCCATCACACGAATTACATCATCTCTATATCGAATATCGAATATCGCCGTATAAATTTTTTAGTGATGAGTCGATCGATGATCATGTTTTTCAGGCGAGGCGAGTGGAGTGTTGCGACGTAGAGTATGGGGGTAAGGGTGTTGCGGAGATTAGGATGAGGGATTGTGGTACGGACGAAGTGATTGCCTGATTTTCTTTGTTTGTGTTCTTTTTTTAATTAATTGAAGGAATATAGTTTTGGCTTCCCATAATCGTATAAAACTCCAATGTACGTAGAGACTAGAGTATATATATATATATATATATATATATATATAATGTATGTAGAAATCAGTTGTCTTCTTTACGAGAAGTGTTTGGTACTTTATAGTACTTTAATTAGTGATTTTGTTTTCTGTGAGAATATTTCAAAAGCTTCGGGGATTTACAAGCGGACCCACTTGAAGATGAATGAGGCACTGGTTCCACTGAATTTTTTTTAAAAAAATATTTATAAAATTTATTAAAGATTTTTAAAAAATACAGTTAATGTTCCCATTATAATTTGGTTGTGGATCTCATTCTTGTTAATTTTGAATATATCTTAAAACGTTATCTAATAAATCAAATAAAAAAATCTATATCTCCTATATTTTTTCCTTTTTTCCTTCTTGTTTTCCATTTTTAAATTTTTCTTTTTCTTTTTTATTAAATAACAAATTGTACCATATATTTTTATTAACTTTTTTGTGTATATATATATATATATTTTTATTTTTTGCTCCCATTACAAAATTCTTCTGGATCCCTTAATGGATATTTATTTGAGAGTTTGTAAATTAAAAATCGTACATTTATTTGATATTTATAAAATTTATGTATTTCTAATAGTTTTACAAAAAATTATGTATTTTGAAGGGATTTCAATCGTAGAAAAACAATTTATTAGAGTTATCCAAAAAACATTGTAAGCCCTTAATAATAATAATAATAATTGATAATCTCTTCCATGATATCAAAACAAGGTTACTCCATTGATTGGAAACCGAACAAATGTTTCAATGTCCAATAAAATTTTCGACTTTATTTCCATGCAAGAACCGTTGCAAAAACATGAAAACTGTTTATACACCCTTTTGAACTTTTGTTTTTTTTGCCTTTTTTGCACTTCTCAACTGTCAGTGAACGAGGAACTTCAGCACCAAAATCAGCTGGAAATCATCACATGATTTATCCAATATGCTCATATGAACAAGCATTTTTCCCACTTGCATGTCAATACATATACACATACATATACATGTGATGATTCATCTATATCTGTTCATGTGGCGCATATCTCTTGCTGTGTATCTTCTGGGTTTTTTTTCTTCAGCAAAACAAAATGCCATTCGAGAACAATAATACGAATCTGAACAAACTGGGTCAGATGTCTCAGCATTTACCGCTCTCTATCTTGTGCAGATGGATCGCGGTTTCGGGTTCTGTTCTTTTCTTCCTGCACATGTTTGTTTTCAGCGTCAAGCACAGAGGAACCCTAAATCTGGTTGTTCCTTCCGAGCTGAAATTCTCATCCTTTTCCTCTTCGTCGCCGCCATTTTCGCCTCCCGAAACAGTCGAAATTCCGACGGATATCAGTCACGTTGTGTTTGTGATCGTCGGAAGTGTGACAACGTGGAAGCACAGGAGAGGTTACATAGAATCATGGTGGAGACCGAACATAACAAGAGGGCATGTCTTTCTCGAACAACCACCCAAGCGAGATCTCTTGCCCTGGCCTCAGACCTCTCCTCCGTTCAGAATCAACAAAGATCCATCCGCTAAACCAGGCAATTACACGAAACTCACGAGCCAGACGGCGATCCGCTTGTATCAGTCGCTCTCGGATTCGTTTTTCAACGCTTCCGATAGCGTCAGATGGTTTGTGGTAGCGGACGACGATACCCTTTTCTTCTTGGACAACTTGGTCGAGGTTTTGAACAAGTACGACCACAAGAAACACTATTACATCGGGATGAATTCCGAGAACATTTGGTCGAACGAAGTGTTTTCTTACGACATGGGATATGGAGGCGGCGGCTACGCGTTGAGTTACCTGACAGTGGAAGCTTTGGTCGGGAGAATGGAAGAGTGTATAAGGCGATACCCGTTAATGTTCAGCGATCTCCTCTCGTTCCTTTGCTTGTCCGATATGGGAGTCGATCTAACACTCGAGAAGGGCTTCCACCAGGTTACGAACGATTTCTAGATTTCCCCCCTCATCGATTTTCAAACTTTACTTGCTGGGCAAGAAAACTCACTGTGTTTAACTTGTGTCACAAGGCAGATTGATCTTCACGGTGACATATCCGGTCTGTTGTCAGCTCATCCTCACTCTCCGCCCATCAGTCTGCACCATTTCGATGTTATAAACCCGATTTTCCCAACGATGAGCCGCCAAGAATCCGTAAACAATCTGATGAAAACCGCGAAAACAGATCAAACCCGTCTTCTCCAACAGACAATCTGTTACCGCAGAGAAATCAACTGGTCGGTCTCTATTTCCTGGGGATACTCTGTCCAAATCTACGAGACTATAATCGCCCGAAGCCAACTGAAACGACCTCTCGAGACTTTTACGCCGTGGAGGAACGTTAAACCGCCGTTCTACAGATTCAACACAAGACGAGTTACCAAAGATCCATGCGAAATGCCTCATCTCTTGTTCTTGGACTCAACTGTGGAAGAGAATAACGGTGAGGTTTCTGGCACTTACAGGGTGAAAACGGCGCGTCGTTTGCCTCCCTGTGTCTCGAACGGCAACCATTCTGCTCTTGTGGTTACCCAAGTTCGCGTCGCCGCGCCGACATTGCACAAGAAGGTAAGATTTTGGAGTTGATGGTTAATTAAAGAACATGTTAAAAAGTATATGTAAAACTTGCCTAATTATTCTACTAATCTTAAATTTTTTACCAAATTTAACTCATCTCTTAAACTGAAGATTTGTTTTAACCACATGGAAATCATTGTAAAACTGTTTTTTTCACTGCAAATTAAAATACATTAAAGTTAAAATTTTATTAAGTGTTTCTTAACCAGTATATTATAAGGGTAATATTTATCGTAATAGATAATAAAATCTTTAATTACTTGTGATGTATTTCAATCTTTCAGGATGGGAGAATCGAATGTTGCGATGTTAGATTTGCTAACAATAAAACGGACGTTTTGGATGTGAAGATAAGAGACTGTATGAAAGACGAAATTCTTGCTTAGATGACATTATATATATATAACGTTTTCTTTATGAAATTAAATACGAATCTATTTTATGGTTAGAGGAAACATATTAATTGTTATTCAAATATTTTTTTCTTGTGATCTGTTGAATTTAGTTTGTTGTTTACTTGTATTTATCAAGGAGCATAAAAATGGGATAGAACTTTTGAATCTGATAAAAATAGTGAGAAGAATTCCATTAGAAATGAATATTTGAGGGGAGAATATATAAATCGAAATGTAATAATTTTACATTATGTTTGGTCCAACATGGGAACAATTGAATTGTATCTAGAAACGTTATTAATATACCTGCAAAAAGATTATATATTGTTAAGAGTCTTTTGTAATTAGTTACTGTTACGGGTTGAAACTGAAAATACAATTATTATTTATATTGAAATCTACTATTAATCTTGCTTGGAATGTGAAGACTCCGGTTAAATGGAATCGTATTATCTTTCACAAAAAATCGACAATTCTTCAAATGGGGGGAAATTCGATTCAGCCGAAAAACAAACCGATCCCAATGCTTATATTATAAATTAAAGCAAGCAAAATCGAACCGGGTTTGGTTTTCCGGTTAAGGACTCTTTCATGCCAATGCTGCTGCTGCTTTCTTCTTCTTCATCATCCTCGTCTGTCATCAGTGAGATTTCTGGATACCGATCAAACGAGCATAATCTACCCACCTGCAAATGCAAAAAACTCGAAGAGAACGAATCGAAAAACTGATCCAGAGGACAAAGAACGGATAAATGGAAACCGGGTTTCGATCCAGAAAACTTACAATAGCGAACCCAAGAATGTGTTGCCAGTTCTAACGGCGAAACACGATGCACTCAGTGCAAGTTTTTGCTGGTGCAGCAATGGCTCCAGTAGACGTTGTTCAATCACACCTGCTAGCAATTGGTACCTGTTTTTTTTTTTACCGCCGAGATGAATCGTTTAGCGTCAATGAAGAATTATCCGATCAAATTCTATGGAAAAAATGGTTTCCGGGTCGAAAAGTATGAACTCGGAATTTGATTCTCCATTCCATTTCCGATAGGAAGAACAAACCGTACCTGAGGTTGCTGGAAACGGCCATATACACACCGTAAGCTACGCTCGTGGAGAGTATCGGGATGTTCTCGGCTTCAGCTTCGGAGTCCACAGCTTGTCGAGCTTTGATCACAGCGTTTGTAATGGCGGTTCCAACCTATTGCAAAGGTTATCCATCCGAAATTTCAGAAAAGAAACAGCTTTTGATTGCATGGATGACAACCCGAGAAACATCTTCGTCTATGAAAAGATCTCTCCATATATATCTCAACACTCGCAATTTTCGATAAGGGAAACATAATTTGAGGAAAGAAACGAGGTTTTACCAGCGATGATGTCGTGCCGACAGCAAATAATTTCGCCCCGTTGCGCTGTTATAAAACATAGAACCGCATTTATATTCATCTCGAAAAGCCTGTTCACATTTAGGTGTTAAAGAGATTGGCGAAAAGCAAAGAAGAAAATCACGCACCAATATAGCACCCGCCCTTTGCAACAGAGTGTACGAGGTGCCGGAGAGAGCAACCTGTATAGAAGAAAACGTAAAAAAAATGTTCCATATGAACGAGCCTTCGAAAGAAACCTTTTCCGGAATCTTCCGGATGATTATTCATTTACGAAGATGGAAAAAAAAAACGATACCTGGAAAGCATTATCTGGGCAGCTGTGAAAGAACTTGGATATCCGTCCGGCATTAAGCGCCAGAGGCGGCCGTAGTGAAACGGTAGGTGCCGGGAGATACACCAACATGAAATCCGCAATGACAGCCATCACCTAAGAGGAAAACCGATCGAAATTAGGAAATCAAAACCATCGGTACGGTACTCTTCAACAATAACCTAACAAAAAACCGAAACCAAACCAAGCAGATAAAAATTTACTTCATACCAAAACCGTAGTTCGTTGTCATTTTCTCTCCAAGTTGATTTCTAACATTCGTGCCTCGGAAACTTAATATGAATTCGGACATGAGAATCAGAAAAAAGGTACTAAGCTTGTCTTGATTAGGGTTTCACTTGAAGACAAAGAAGATATACCACATTTTCCATTACTGAAATTCCAGCTACCTAACGACGAGAAATGTCGGCCCCGTTACCACCACAACTAACCAACTCTTCCTTTCTCTGAAGGGTCATAACCGTATCAACGGTCCACGACAACTCTACGTTTTGTATAGACTCAACATCATATAACGAAATAAGAAATGGTCCACATTTCGATTTCGACAAACTTTGTCTTCTTATTCCGATTTTTCACCAGATCCTTTAAAGGTTGCAGAGATTGATGAAACACGTCCTAATCTCAAGGCACTTGCAAACATTAAAAGTTGAGACACTTTCAGTCCGTTTCCGAATCCGAAAGGAAACGAGACGAAATGCCGCAATTACCACATCGGCGAAAACAACTTCGAGTTCGTTGAAGAAGTTTTCTCTTCGGCGTTCATATTCCGCAGCAGTCTGGAGACAAGAAGCCACGTAAATGGATCGAAATTAGCGAAAGATCGAAACTTTTTAGCTGATTATGAACAAAAAACGTAAACACAACAATTCTGATGAGCATAGATCAAAAGGGCATGGCAGAAAACGAAAATAAAACCAAACCCAGATTCCGAAATGGTTTAGCATTGAGTAAACTCTAACTCTCTGTTCAGTTCAACATGTCACTGCTGTTCAATCTCATCAACTTGAACAGCTGACAGTGAATTTATCAATGGAGCTTTGAAAATTCAACAGACAACCCAGAAAAGATCTACGAGCTTTCTTCGAAAACAGTGACAATTCCTCCAATCGAAAGGCGGAAAGAAAAAGCAATTTACAAACTTTAATCGAAATGGACTTGAATTGGAAAATCGTACCTTGGTGAAGACACCAACGCCACATTCCATGGCAACCTTAGCCAAGAAGAGATCATCGGCCAAAAGCCTTTCCCTAAACCCACCAAACTGCATCAGCCACCGCATGAACGCTGATCTCTGGAGCTCCAGGAACCGGGTCACCACCGACCCGGGAATCCGACCCGACTCGATCGCTGCCACCAGATCCTTCGGCAGATTCTCCAGACCGAACGCGGCCTCCGACAAAACCATCATCGCCTCCTTCTTGTTCCTCTCCCTGTCCTCACCCCCCTCGTCGTCCCCATTGTTTCCGCCGCCCCCGCCATCGGCCCCGCCGTTATCGACGGAGGCGGAGAAGAGAGGGGAAGGGAAGATGCGGCGGCGGATGGAGATGGGTGCGGCGGAGATTACGGAGGAGGAGGAGGAAGAAGAACATAATTTCAGAGATAGAACAGGGGAGACAGCGAGGTTATTGTCTCGCGTGGGATTCGGAACAGAACTGGTTGGGTTCGGTCTATATATTCAAGTTATTTTGTACAGATTTTATTCAAGACAATACAAGGGACTTAGTCCCAACGACGCGAAGAGAGAGAGTTTCGATTCGTAGGATGTTTCTTCCGAAAGCCCTCCGCTTTCTGTCAAATCTCTCTCTCTCTCCGTGTGATGGGTTGGTGAGCGGTTCGTTCGAGGGCAAAAGAGAATCAGAGCAAACACATCTCTTTAAGGGTTTTCACGTGGACTTCTCTCGCGAGAGAGAATCAGAATGAGATTCCCAACGAGCGATGGAAGCGCGTGGTTTTCACGTCTTCTCAAGAGTTTCTTTCTCTTTTTCACTTTTCCTTTTTTCATCCTTTAAAAGGCTTTTTTTTCCTCAAAATGGTAAATTTAAGGAGTTTGATGGGGAAAATAGAGCTTTCACATTCCGACCATAACGGATACAAATGTATAAACTTTTCAAATTTAAAAAATAAATCTGGTGCATTTAATTTCTCCAAAAAATTTAAAATCAAAAAACATAGGAAATGAATTAAAAGTTTATACTTTCGTAAATTTTAAGTAAAAAAATGACAAAAGTATGAAATCTTGACGGATGTAAATCAGTTTATTTATTGTAAGAGATATAACTAATAAGATGTTTCATAATATGATTACAACATCATAGCTAACGAGGTTCGTGTTATTGGGCCAAGAAAGTACCCGCGTCTGCCATGGTTGCGGCCCCTCCCTTTTCATTCTCCTCTCCATTTCTTGTTGCGTAAATTATTCTCTTGAATTTGGTAGTCATTTGTGGAATTCTAGAGGTTACTAAATGAGATTAACAAGATTTGATCGTATTTCTTAGAGAGAATCGCAATTTAATAAAAGAATGAGCAAATGATTAAGATCAACGAAATTCAATTGCAATATCCGAGAGAGAAACCAGAGTCCAGGCGGAAGCCCAATATGTGTGTACCCGACTTTTGTTGAAAAGCAAAGTCCTCTCGGTTCACCAAATTTTTTTTCTCTTGTCTCTCTCGGTCTTTTTATTTCAAACCGAGAAGAATTTATTTGTCTTATCTCTTTTATCACCAATATGTGTGAGTATTGTGATAGTGATTGTGAGTATGAAGAGGTTTACGAATAACCAGAATACAGGGAGCATTGGGATGTCGATGACGTCTTAGCCAAAATACCAAAGTTTTTGAGAGAGACATTGGTGCAAAACGCCAACGCCAATAATATCGAGTTAAGTATTACTCTTCTTGAAGAATTATTTCGAACTAACGAGTTTTTTGAAATGATACAACAAGCACAGGTTACAAGCAAAGAAAATCTATCTCAAATTGTCGAAGAGAGCGAAATGGATAGAGAACTACAAAACGAAGACACACACTATGAGAAAGAGAGAGCCTTGGATGCAACAAACTCGAAAAAAGAAGGAATAGAAAAGGATATGATAGTGAATGACCCTACAGTGGAGGAAATGAACTCCGAAGAAGAGGCGTCACATGCATCCGACATCATTCCTCTTCCGACATTAACAAAGAATCTGAGCATCTCCTTCACATGGAGAGGAAACCAAGTTTGTAGTTTCTTTTATTCTCCCGTATCATTTGATTTTTGTGTTCCAAATGATATGTTTGGTGTTTTTAATGTTTATGAACAGAAAATACAACAATTAATCACGAGGTTTCATAGAGTTGAGAAGCTCACGAGTGAGGGGGAATGGTATGATGCACTCGTATGCTTTTCTACCAAAAAAGATATATCCGAACATAACTTTCCGGGATTACCTATGAGTTTAAACAACTCTAGGCTTGGTAAATCTATTTTTAATACGCTTGTCTTTGATTCCGGTAAAAATGAATGTGTATTGCATGATGAAAATAAACCTATAGATATTAAAATTATGTGTAATTTTGTTTGTAATAAGAATGAAAACCAAGATGAAATATTTGAAACTATTTATGATAATTTGGCATATCATGATATGTTAGCATATAAACTCGTATTTCAACATATTAGGAGTCTTTATCTTCTCTTGTTTGATAACATGAATATCCTTGCAAATTTATTTCGGTTTATCATCATATGGAGTGCCACGGCCTCCTTTGTATTCGCTAATGTTTTACTTGAGTCAATGCAGAAAATTAGAATCTTGAAATCATTGGAACCGACATGGAAAGGGATAGGATGCTTGGCGACATCTCGACTCAATCATGAAGGCATTCACTCTCCAAGATTAGTTTTTTGTCAATTATCCAAACTAATCTTGAGGGAATGTTAATAATGATAGCACCATAAAAGAGTGGAGGAATCCCACGTGGCTAATTGATGCAGAATCTTAGAGAAATATTGCATGATTTATGCTATATAAATTAATGAAGATTGAGGTGCAGAGAATCAAGCCAATATCTCCCGTAAAATGGACAACAAGGAACCAATCATGCATTAAAGAAAACAATCATGAGATTCTTTCCAAGTCTAAAACTAGTCGTTTACTTATTCTACATGTCTATATATTCAAGTTATTTTGTACAGATTTTATTCAAGACAATACAAGGGACTTAGTCCCATACTTTTCATTCTCTCAATCTTTTCTTTTTCTTGTCCAAACACATTTCTCTTGGTTTCTATAGCAACAAATACATTCAATTATACAAAAATCTTCAATAGCTCCTCTCCTTCAGCCAACTCTCAACACCAGTGCCGCCGCCATCGCCAACTTAATCAAAGGTTTTTCAATCAAAGATGCTACTTTTCAAGACCCGAATTCACACGTATATATATATATATAAAAAAAAAAACAGGAATCAAGTTTATGGGTTTGGTTTCTTGCAGGGTCAAAGGCGTTTCCCAACTCGAGTTACGGATGGGTGAACGTGAAGGATGTGGCCAATGCGCACGTCATGTCCTTCGAGAACCCATCAGCCAGTGGACGCTACTGCCTTGTCGAGAGTGTCGCTCACTACTCGGAGATCGTCAGCATTTTGCGTCAGCTCTACCCTAATCTCCATCTCCCTCGAAAGTGAGTCCTCATTCGAAATACGCAAATAGCATCATATCTATCTATCTATATATAGTAAAAGTGGTAATTTTTTGCGTTTGGAATCATTTGAATTTCTTTTTGGTTTCTCCTCTATTTGTAAAAGGATTTTATATGCCAAAAATTCAACAAATCTCACAACTACAACTCGCCTAAAATTCATCTAAATCTCAACCACCATTTGAGCCGCAAAATTAGACGAGCAAGAGAATAGAAGAAAAATAGAAACACTATTCCACGGAGAGAAGTCGTGAATCTTGAACGCTTTTTGGTGGTAATTATTGGGAACGAGTTTTACTTGAACATAATTTTTTGATAGTTTGTAACGCGTAAGACTATCAATTTATATCCTAACATTATAAGGAATAGATAAATATAATAGAAAACATGCACGTCAATATCTAAATTTTATTGTACAAACTGAAATCCTTTGTAATCATCAATAGTAATATAACACACGAGCTTCGTGCATGTGTTCTGAAGGTGTGCGGACGAGAATCCGTACGTGCCGACGTACCAAGTGTCGAAGGAGAGAGTGAAGAGCCTCGGCATTGACTACGTGCCCTTGAAGGTTAGCATCATGGAGACCGTCGAGAGCTTGAAGGAGAAGGGCTTCGTCCACTTCTGACGAGGAAATTAGTTCTCCATTCATGTCGGAATTCAACAACTATAAAATAAGGGTTGATCCATCGATTTAATTATCATCCGTATTATAATTTCACCACCTTTGAACAAATTAAATAAATGTCTCGAATCCCATTTGGCCGCATGAATCGACGTTGCATGCTTCTCTCTCACTGGGAATGGTAACAATGTCTTTAGATTAAGTTGTAGTTTTCTCATTTTATTGAATATTTTTTTATAGCACTAATTGTCTACATAATCAGATTATAAAAACTAAGGTTTAAATCGTAAAACTATCTATAAAACACCGATAATTAAATCGTCTCACAACGTAATTACACCATCCGTTTCACCTTTTTTTCCGTAATTATTTTGATGTTTTTATTTGCGAATAATAAAAATAATATATATTCTATAACCTCAAACCATGCCATAACCACACCTTTTATAAATATCTGCTGTCCCTACAAGAGAGTAAAAATCAAAATCAAAATCAAATACGCAAAATAGCATCTCGTCTCAAGCCGTTTCACACCGTATGTACAATTGCGCCTATAAAATAGTCGTGATTTTAATAAGCAAAGACGAAACAAAATAAAATCCCACCATCGCCACTACAAGGAAGAAGAAGAACAAAACACCGACAACAAGGGGAAGACGAATCGATCGAGGGAGAGAGAGAGAATGGGGAAGGTGGTGTGTGTGACGGGAGCTTCAGGATACATAGCGTCGTGGGTGGTGAAGCTGCTTCTCCTTCGTGGCTACACCGTCAAGGCCTCTGTTCGAGACCCCAGTTCCGTACCCAGATTTCCTCTTTCTCCCTCTTCCTCTCTTGTTTTGATTTTTGGATTTTCATCTTAACATATGCTTTGTTGGTTTCTGGGTATTTCTCGTGAAGCTCGAAGAATTATCCGGGAAATCGAAAGTCACCCGTTTATGTGATTCAGTGATTTGTGTTCTTCTGCTTGAATTCTGCAGACGTTGCTTTGAAAACTGAAAACCGGGAATTTCACACTTTCAGAGTTTAGTTTCGTCGTGGCTTAGTTTTAGATTCGTAATTTTTGAATACCAAAAACCCATTTGAAGAAAACTTGGATTCAGACACAATCCTTAACATATGAATGTCTGAAGAACGTTTCATGTCAGAGCCGACGAATTTTCCCTCCTGATTCACTCACTGTATATGCAGATGACCCGAAAAAGACGGAACACTTGCTCTCACTAGAGGGTGCAAGTGAAAGACTCCACCTTTTCAAAGCAAACCTTTTGGAAGAAGGATCCTTTGATTCAGCCATTGATGGCTGCGATGGTGTTTTCCACACAGCTTCTCCGTTTTACAACGATGTCAAAGACCCGCAGGTTCGTCATAGAGATCTTCCGTTCGGATCAACTCTTGAATCAGTTCGCGTTCTGTCGTTCTTGAACGTTTTTCTCCGTGTTTCAGGCTGAACTTATCGATCCCGCTGTGAAGGGAACGCTTAACGTGTTGAACTCGTGCGCGAAGACCTCTTCTGTCAAGCGAGTCGTCGTAACGTCTTCCATGGCAGCGGTTGTTTGCAACGGAAAGCCTCGCACTCCGGATGTAACAGTCGACGAGACTTGGTTTTCTGATTCCGAGTTTTGCGAGGCGTCAAAGGTCCGATCTTACAAAATTTTGCATCTTCTTGATTTATGTTCAAGAAAACATCACTTCATTAAAAGCTTTGCACTGCATTTGATCCATTTTAGAACTTCGGGGGATTAGGCATTCATATTCATAGGCAAATCATGCTTAAACGTTCAGTATGTTTACCCTATGATCGGTGCCGGTAGTCAGTTCATAGTGGCGATAAACGGAAAACGCTGTTCCCGGGCTTGATAACTGTGTAACAAGTTCTCTGCTTTGTTCCGGGAAATAGTTGTGGTACGTACTGTCGAAGACCTTGGCGGAAGAAGCTGCTTGGAAGTTCTGTAAAGAGAAAGGCATTGACATGGTCACCATTAATCCAGCAATGGTGATCGGTCCACTCCTACAGCCAACCCTCAACACCAGTGCCGCTGTAATAGCGAACTTGATGAACGGTGGGAACTCTGTCAAACCCGAGATAAAACCCGTTTAGGGTTTCGTCTGAAAAAAGCTTAGAAATCGAGCCCTTAACGGTTTGGTTCATGCAGGATCGAAGACGTTCCCCAACTCAACTTTAGGATGGGTGAACGTAAAAGATGTGGCGAACTCGCATATCCTAGCCTTCGAGAACCCGTCAGCCGATGGACGTTATTGTCTGGTCGAGAGCGTCGCTCACTACTCCGAGATTGTGAACATTCTGCGTGAGCTCTACCCGAATCTTCAACTCCCTGAAAAGTAAGTGACCCGGATATGAAAAAAACGCCTCTCTTTACCTCGTTTATGTGAATCTTGAACATGTTCTTGTGGCCAGATCTCGTGAGATTTGTTCGTTGTTTTTTGAAGGTGTGCGGACGAGAATCCCTACATGCCGACGTACCAAGTTTCGAAGGAGAGAGTGAAGAGCCTCGGCATTGAATACATAACCTTGAAGGTCAGCATCAACGAGACTGTCGAGAGCTTGAAGGAGAAGGGCTTCGTCCACTTCTGAGGAATTTCTACCGAAGAAAATAAACATTTCCAATCTTACCGAATAATGAATGAGAACTGGTGGACGTTTAATGTGATATAAAGTCGGATGGTTACAGATCGGGTACCCGAGTTTTTCGCTATATCCTATCTCGGTTTCACTCTCCTCCTATTTTGCAGTCGGGTATCCGAGTTTCCCGTTGTATCATTTATGTACTCATTTTCTCTTCATCAATAGGTTTGACGATAAAATCGAGTTTGTTATGATCATAAGTCCTACAAAATTTGATCTTTCATAGTCTTGTATCCAAAAGTTGCGATCTTTTTGCTTATTTTCCACTGGTTTTATCAGATTCTCTGAACAAACACATATGCTCTCAAGACAAAACTTTCAAAGACAAACAAAACATGAAGAATCACTATCTAAGAAGAGTCTCTGCATATGACTGCACTGAGGAGGAAGGAGAACTAAGCTTACTTCTCTGACCAATGACCCGAGAATCGTTCCCGACGTCTCTCAAAGGCAATCTTTTCGGATCCACAGTTTCCCTTCTCCTTTCTCCGGATTTATCCTTCTGTTTCAACCCGTGATCATTAGAGATGCGAGGATTTTCCTTTAACCGACGCACAAGAATGCCTAATATCGTTTCGGTACGAGGTTCTTTCGGGACTTTCTCTGCCGGTTTCTGTTCCTTTGTTTCCGGGTTCAAGCCATTTTCCGTCTTCTTGATCACCTCTTTGAGGACCGATACTTCTCCTTGTAGCTCATTCGTTTTCTTCTCATAAAGAGCAGCTTTTTCTTTCCAGTCCTTCACCTACAAGAACATGAGACAAGATGCCATGAGCTCGTTTTTAATTTTTTTTTCACGACGAATGTGTTAAATGAGACAGAGGAAACTTCCTTACCGATAAATGTAGCGACTGGATTAGACGTTCTGAATCAAATGCTCGATCCTCCCAGTAGTTTTTGGCAGTCTGCAACTCCTCCATCTCATCCTTGACCTGGTGAAGCATCTCTTGCATTTGAGACCACTGTTCTGTCTCGATCTTAACTTGCTCCACCAGATTTTTCACTATCGCCTTGCAATGCCCCGAACATGATTTCTCCCGGTGAGCCCACATTTCCTGCAAACCCGTATCTTAAAACGTTTCGTATTTTCTTTTTATTGTAACTCCATTCAAAGCCATAGTTCTTGATCAGAAATCTGAGGAAAACCTTAAGTGCAATTTGTGGCATCACGTCATGAGTCGGAAAACGCATAGAGCTAGAAGCTGAGCAAGTAACAGAACTGTTCGCCGGAGAAATCATTGAACCATATTCCTTTTCCATTCTTTCCAAGAGATGCCCTTTCGACAATGCCTCCATTCTCTTTCTTAAAATCTCCATCTGCTAAACAGAAACCAAAAGATTTTTTACTAACGCCGAGATCAGTGACAACTACGAAAATCTCGCAAGAACATTAAAAAAGCTCGGTTCTTTTCGAGATTAGTGAAGCTTAAAGAGAAGGAAACAAAGAACTACACTGAATCTACTGAGAAAACTCTGCTGAGAGTATATTGTTATATTGACCAAAAGGAACCCGAAGCTCGAGAAAGTGGTCATTCTTACGTTGGTGTCACAGTCAGAAACGCAACTTCTGTTCAGACGTTGATTTGGTTTAACTGACAAAATTGCTTCGGCCATCTCCCGAGTGTCCCTCAGGCAAATTTCACTGGATGTTCCATCCAATCTCTCGAGCCTTCTCTTGGGGAAAGAAGCTTGTTTGTTTAAATTGTTTCCATTCTTGGCTTCGGAATCCTTAGCTTCTGCTTTCCCTCTTAGCTTTTGTAGTTTCCGGACCAAATGATCTATCTCTTCCTCCAAGACAATGCTCACATCATCTCCTTCTGAAATCCTTTCTCTTCCCTACAAGACAAAGGTTGCTACTCTCAGACTTACTCCCAACACGAAATAAATTAAGTACAACAAAACAAAATTCAAATGTATAAAGCCACATTCTCCAACTTCTGATCCTTTTCTCTCATTTTCTCAGGAAAAAAAAAACAGACAACAGAATCTGACCCAAACACGACACTAAGGCTTCACATGTCACTTCCAGTAATCCCTCAACACAAAGATTCTTCCACAGATGCTGTCGTAGGAGTAGAAACTTCAACATTAATAAAAAAAAAATCTACTAGAAGCTGCTTCTGTCACAGGAATCCGACCAAAGATACTGCCTTTATCGCAAAGACCAGTACCCATCAAGAATTTTTTTCTGAAACAGAGTTAATGTCTCCGTTTTTTCAACCTCGTTTTCTGGGCAGCCAAACAACCGAAAATCAAAAAAGAGATAAGGAAAACTTACCGCGAGAAGAACGTGAACCGCTGAACGCAAAGTCCTCTCGATCCTCTCCATTTTCTTCTCCACCTTCTTCGTCGCCATTTCCTTCTCAGCCCTCAACATATAACACTCTGCTCTCAGCATATCCGCTTCAACCCTCCATTTCTCCTGCTCCTCCGCCGCCGAAAAGGCCGAAGCAGCTCCTCCGCCGCGATGGTTCCCTCCAAACGAGCTCTCCAGATCGAAAAACTGATTCTCCACCATCATTCGTCTTCTCTCGCTGTTTGAGGACTTTCCTCGAACAGATGGTCTTCGAGGCAACTGGATGATCCTCGTCGATGGTGGGTACTGCCATCTCGGCCGCCGGAGGGATTTTCGAGCCGCTGTCGACTCCATCCCCAGATAGAGAGAAAGCTCCGGTGGAGAGAGAAACAGAGAAGAGATAGAGAAACAGATAAAGTACGAAGATGATGAAGAAACGATCAAAAAAGCTTTTTACTTTGCAGTGGTCTTATGAGGATGAAGAAGATGTTCAAAGCATGTATCTTTTAACCGTTTGAAATACATGAATATTTAAATAAATAAATAAATAAATAACTTACACATATGTATATATATATATGTCATATGTGTATCTAGGCAGGGGTTATATGGCTGTCGACTGCATATATTATGCGATTACAGGTGACAATTTGTTTGCGTTCAATCAGTTCAAAGTTTTACTGTAATAAAAAATAATAATAATAATATGGTTTAATCTTGTTTTTATAAATCCAAATTGGGTTTTGACAAAAAAAAATCCAAATTGGGTTATAAAAAGTTTCGGACAATTTTCTTCTCGTACAAAGTTTTAGCCTAGTGGAAACTACCTCCCACGTGAATCTACAAATGACTTATATTAATCAATGATGATTTGAACCAGGGTAAAAAACGTAGATAAACAATAAATAATTACAAATAAAATGAGATAAAAAAATAATTTAATTGTTTTCCACATGAGTTATATCGAGTTAGTTTTTCGTCCACTCGGTTCTATTTCAATTTTTTTTTTTGTATAAAATACTTAACCTATAAAAAATTTGATTTTCTAAAAAGTATGTAATAATTTGATTCAAATTTATTTTCAAATGCATAGTATAACGTCTCTAATTTCAACTTTAAAACATTACAAGGACCTAACCTACAATAACCACTCCTTTTAAGATTCTTTGTACATGCATAGTTCAACAACTTCAGACATTCAATCAATGTTTTATTTCCAAATTAAGTAAGTTACTATGAAAAATATATGTATTTTTGGTGTAATAGATTTTTATAAATTTTGAAAATGTATTGTGATGTGACTCGTGAAATTGTGAGTATATATTTTTTTATATATAAATTAATGAGTCCGAGTCAAACGGCATAGAAAGCAGATGAAACATTTCAAATAAAAGCTGGATATCTGTGTATATGCAATTTAATTCCTCGGACAATGTTCCTTTTTTTGGTAGTTTATGTAATTAATTCTCAATTCCCACTCTCTTATTGCCATTTTGCCTCTCTGTATTCGCATTTCGTACTCTTGATTTTTGAAAAATATTAAATTAAAGATACCCAAAAACGGGAGGACATTAACTACAAGAATCATGTTAACTAAATACAATGTTTAGGGTTTATGAATGAAATATATATATATATATAGTATAAAAATATTAGATTAGTTCATAGGCAATGTTTTAATTTAATTGGACTATTAATATAATAAATTTTACTATCTTTTCTAAGAAAATGTAGGTATAGAGATTTTTGGGATAGAATCAAAATGGAAATTATGATACATATTTATATATTCAAATAAATTAAATTATATTGTCTGAGTAAACATCTGTTATATTTTTCATTTCATAAAATTAACAATGTTTGATACTCTAATATGGGATATATTTAACTTGAGTTATTATTAGGTTATCTATATTTAGTTTAGTAGATTATATATAATTATGTAAGTGTAGTTTCGATTTATTTAGAATTTGAAGTTATTATCTGATTGTTATTTTTGTGTGTGCGGTTTATTGTTGTTCTTTGATTATTTATACTTTCTCATTTTGAATTGGGTTTTAAAATACCGATAAAGAATTCCATTTATGTTATATATTCCAAAAAAAAGTAATTTAATTCCGTGCATTAAAACATATGGATTGTTCAAGTGACATAACTAAAATAAAATTTAAAAAAAAAACAGAATAAAAAAATCGACCAACGTGCCGTCGAAGGAATTAATTTGCAAACCAAATTAATACACTAATTAAATAACACAAACACAGTGGAACTTATTTACTATTTATTTATTTATGTAAAAAAAAATCCCTAAACATAATAAATCCGTTTTTTCTCACTCTATGGATTCCTTTTCTTGGGTTTAACGCTGTCGTTTTGGCGTCTGGGTGGTCGTCGTTTCCCAATGAAGAGACACGGAACACAAAGAAGCTTTGTTCGTTGGAACTCTTAATTATATATGTCCTTTTTATAATTTTAATTTATTTTTTAAAAATTAGATGGCGTACTTATATGTTTTGAACTGTGTTTTGCAAATAATAATAACTTATTTAGGTAATTACTAGAGTTTAGATCATTTAAAATTTTAAAATAATTTATATATACTATTAGATTGATGAATTTTATTTAATTACATTTATTTAAAATTTTGAATTTGTAGGACATATGAATTCCAATTTATTTTTTGTAATAATATTATTAAATTTTTAATGATCAATTTAATTATTCACTAGCTAAATTGTTGCTACCGTTAAGAATACTATTTAAAGACCTAATTAAATAATGAAAAAAAGTATTTTTTATTTGTGAAGAGGACATAATTTCGTAATTTTTAAACATATAAAAAATAATTTATCAATCAGAAACAATTATTAAACATATTTTTTAGAAGAAAAAAATTGAATTAATACTCGATTATTCCAAACAGTATAATTCCAAGAACTTGAATTAATATCTGAATAATATGTACATTATTTGAATTCAAACTTATATAGTTTGAATATTCAAAATCCAAATAATTTTAAAATCAAAGAGAAAAGAGTTTGCAAAAAAAAAAAATCATCAAGGTTTTCAAATGATTAGAGGACAGATTATTGTCGTATGTGATGGAGTATATATATGTGATTATAGTCTCATCTCCCATATTCTTCCTCCACGTCGATTTGAAATAGTGTCATAGTGACTGACATCAATAGTTTATATGCAAGTCCAAATCCATGAAATTTTTATAAGATACGTAACAATATCGATATAATTTCTTCTTAATTTTAAAATACAAGTCAAAATAACATGTTACCACACACACACACACACACACACACACACATATATATATATATATATAAGGTAGGACCATATGAAAGTTTTTTTTGTCACGATTTTATATAGAGGAAAATTTGCAAAACATATATTTTTATATAAAACTTCATAAGGTACCTTTTTTTTTACAATTTTGTGGTCAGAATTTTTTTTTTCATACGTATGTTTAGTCTTTTTCATAATGAGGGCTAAACGTTTTTTTTACAAGTGCAGAATATATATAAAGATCATATTTTAATAATATTGTCTTGCATTAAACATTAATTTTCCATTAGTAATATCGTCTTCTTCATTAAAAAAAACTTTTAATACATGGTCTTGTAATATCATTATAGTGTTGTCCCATTTAATTAGGATTAAGATTTCTCATTCTTAAACACATAATGTTTAGAGTTTCCAAATCTTTGTAACAAAATATTTACAATTTAATGGGTTTTTTTTTCCAAATTATAGGAGGGAAAAACTAAGCTCCATAGTTTTATTCTTAAAATGCGTCATACCATAGATTTATAGTATATATTATATGAATAACGCATGTAAATGATATAGAATCAACATTATTTATATCTATTTTTCATTAAAATGGGCCTGTTAAAATCTAAAATGATCTAAAATGCATATGAGAACAGATATAAGAATAAGATGTCATTTTGCTTTAAGAATTTAGAACATGGACCAACTTTGCTTTAGAGATGTTAGGTAACATCACTGCGGTACATATAGCACTAAATATTGGTGCTTATTTATTTGATTTTTTTCTATGAAAACAATTCCTTTTTTCGGTAGAAAACAATTGGAAAAAGCCAAAAATCCAATAATATTTGAACAAAACAATCAAATCAAATCAACGTACATGTTATGATATATATATATATATATATATATATATTAATAATAATAATAATAATAATAATAATAAGCCTGCATGGAAAGAAATCTTAAGCACAATGCATGATTCCGTTTGCGGTGTAGAGTTACAAAATTGATCGAATATTTTTTTTAGAATCAAATTCACCGAATTTAAAGTCAATATAAAATGAATAAAATTGAATTTTTAAAATGAAATTTATATACATTTCTACTATGTATTTGTGTATAGTTAGTGTCACTATGTTTGGAAGTGGTCTCGATTCATATATTCATATTTTCATCATATATTCACATAAATAAAATAAATAAAAAAGAAATTTTCGACAATGGCTAATGGGCAAACATGTTACTTATACTAATTAACTTAATTAGTTTTTAAGTTTTATACGTGTTTTCCGTTTTACCATTTACGTATTTTATCATATAGCAAGTGACGCAATACACACACACACACACACACACAGATATATATATATATATAAACGCACGTGGTAAATTCCAATATTAAACAGTAGTAATATAGCAATTAAATAAAAACAAAAACATATATTTATTTCTAAGTTGTACAATCTATGACTGCCATCCCTCTATATATATATCCATGATTTTTTTGGATCTTCCATGTGTCTTTTATCATTTTGAATTTGAATTTAGATTATTACCGTTGGGTAAACTTTGTTACTTCGGCTATTTCAAAGAATCAAACTTTTTTAAATGTAATTAATTAGTCTATTGACAAAATTGTATTCCATTTTTTGGTACGGTAAGAACTAAGAACTCACGACTACAACTATTTTAATACGATTATTTTATGCGATTATTTAAATACGATTAGAAATAATTGTTTCATATTATTTTTAAGTCGTCATAGTAGCATTTGAAAATTGCATCTTAGTAATTGTAATTTGGTAGTTTTGAAAATTTTAAACTTTCTTTTCTATTTCTAAGGCCGTGTGATGAAATTGATTAATGAATTTGAACCGATTTGTTGGGCCATTTTTATAAGCCCAAATTCAGTTTTGCTTAAAGGCTCAATTTTGAATGAAGGCCCATTAAAACAACCCTAATTCCCGAGGCTCAAGTATAAAACCCTCGTCTCTCTGATCATGCTTCACTCTTTCTTCCGCAACTGAAGCGCAGGCTTTCTTTCCAGAAACCCTAGAAGCCACCGAGAAGAATCATGGCGGACTCAGGAGCAGCACCAGCAGCCGCAGCACCGGAGAGAGGGGGATTCCGACGTGGGTTCGGAGGGGGACGTGGAGGACGCGGCGGACGTCGCCGTGCTAGGAAGGACGAGGAGGAGAAGTGGGTTCCTGTCACGAAGCTCGGACGTCTCGTCCGGGAAGGCAAAATCCGATCTATTGAACAGATCTATCTCCATTCTCTTCCCATCAAGGAGTATCAGATTGTCGATCTCCTCATCGGACCGTCCCTGAAGGACGAGGTAATGAAGATCACGCCTGTTCAGAAGCAGACTCGTGCGGGTCAGAGAACCCGTTTCAAGGCCTTTGTCGTTGTCGGAGACGGGAACGGTCATGTGGGTTTGGGCGTGAAGTGCGCGAAGGAGGTTGCGACCGCCATTCGTGGAGCCATCATATTGGCTAAGCTCTCGGTGATTCCGGTAAGGAGAGGGTACTGGGGAAACAAGATCGGAAAGCCACACACAGTGCCGTGCAAGGTCACGGGCAAGTGTGGGTCGGTAACCGTTCGCATGGTTCCGGCGCCGAGAGGAGCTGGTATTGTCGCCGCTAGGGTTCCGAAGAAGGTTCTTCAATTTGCTGGGATAGACGATGTGTTTACATCTTCCCGAGGGTCCACTAAGACCCTTGGAAATTTCGTCAAGGTATTGTCGTGTGTACATTTATTTACTTGATTTAGATTGTGTTTATAGATATTTTTTCTCTGCTTTTTGTGTAGTATTATGTTGTTTATCCTTCTATTCTATGCGCTTAGCTGAACCGTTTGTATTGATTCAACACTGTTAACACTTAATCGATATTGTTTAGGCTTTTGTTTGTGTCTGCTTAGTGCTTACTGTGATGTTCTTAGCGACAATGTTAGCTCTTTGTTGATATTTGTATGCTGGTGCTTTGATGGTGTGGAAGTCTTATTCTTTACTTGCTTCTAGATCTGGGTTTCAGTTTTCGTGAGGTGGGCTATACTCATTTTTGGATTAGGGTTTTAGTTTGTTCTGTTGGTATTGGAAGTTTCTTTCTAATTGGTACTCTTCAGTTGTTGATTTGCCCTCTTTAGGATTTTGTTTGTGCCTGCATTCTGTGGTGTTCTTAGCTACAACGTTAGCTTTTTGTTAATGTTTGTAGGCTTTTGGAAGCTTTAATGTATCCATCTCTGAGAAATTCAGTGTTGTGCTCATGTTACGTCAATGGTTTTCTTATGTTTGCATATGGTAATTTTAATGACATTGTAGCTATCTGCGGTCAAGGACTTCTATCTTGCATTGTATTAGATACATAGGTTTTTGTTTTATCTTTCTTTCTTGGAGTTTGTCATATGTTGTGTTATTCTGGGAAGCTTTCAGTCTTCTTCAACTGGTCTTAAGGATTGAAATTTATTAGTGATCCTTCAATCCCTTTTTATGTCATTCTTTGTCTAGAAGTTACAAACTTGTTCAACATTGCTGTGTTTATATCAGCCAGTTAAACTGCATCTTTGCGTACGTATTCTTTGACGCATCTGTTTGCATTTCGCAGGCAACGTTCGAATGTCTGATGAAAACATATGGATTCTTGACACCTGAGTTCTGGAAGGAGACCCGGTTCACAAAGTCGCCCGTGCAAGAATACACCGACTTGTTGGCTAAACCCATCGCTAAGGCTATCATCCACGAGGACCTCGACAATGTCCCTCCCTCCTAAACTCTCCACATGATCCACCATCTTTCGCATCGCCTTTAGTCTTTTTTCGCAAGAAGTCAGTAAGAGAACTACTAGTCTTTTTTTGCAAGAAAGTGAGCAAGAACTTTTTTTCGTTTCAAACTTCAAACTTGTCACTTGGATCTTTACTTGAGTCTGTATTTGGATCTGTTTTTCACATTGCTGGTTTCTTTCCTCAGAATCTGCCCAAGTTTTAGTTTATCGTGTATCAGTCTCACGGTCGGAACCGGCAGTTATTTTGGTTTAGTGGGTGTTGGTGGCTAAGTGCAGTTTCTGTTATCGTTTCAGTGGACGGTTGCATGGGTATCGACCTAGTGTTTCAATAGCGGTTCTTCGATTGGGCCTTGCCTCCACTCTATATGGGCTTCATGTGGGCCATGATGTTATTGTTTAAGCTTTGTGGGTTCAGCTAATAGCTCGGCCTAATGCCTCTAGGTCAAGGAGCAGACGCAGCCATAGACTAGGTTTACTTGCAAAACAAGAAACCGATAAGATGTTAGATTTTGTAAGAAATCCCAAAGGAACCACAGAACTTATAGCATAAAACAGATAACAAACTGAAATAAATAACATAAGCAAAGTTCGTAAAGCTAACAAAAGAAAAAGGAAATCTATCTTTGAATAAACAGTGCACGTAAAGAGGGTTCTTAAAAGTATAATGCGAAATAATAGCCCCTATAATTTGTAGATAAATTATTGTACCAATGTCTCGAATTATAACTGTATTATAAAATTCTTAAAAGTATAATGCGAAATATAAATAATTGAGATACCTAAGACCTAAAGAGTGTTCTTAACTTTAGAGAATGCAAGCATTGAAAAAAGATTAATAGAGAAAAACATAATCTCATTTACTACTGCGTTTTTTCTTTTTGATGTTGAATTATATAATAAAATTCAATTATTTATAGAAAAATTAGCCAAATAAAAAAGGAAATAAGATCCAATGAAAACAAACCATATAAAATTTATAATCATTTCCAATCAACTTCGTCCATATTTATTTCTTCATTTGAACATAGAACATCATGCATATAACAATTGGCACTTCTTCTCTTAACTAACACGCTCGAAATTTTCAGATCTGAATCCGATCAACGAACAACGAGGTTATATGTTTATCGATCTTTCCTCGAGGATACGTGAATCCATCGCCGTCCCTGTAGAAGACGTCGAATACCCCCACCATTTTCAGAACTCGCATCAGAAGATTCCTCGGAACATCGGTACTGGCAGTTGAGTTCAAGAACTCTTCCACCAGTATCTTGTAATTGCCATCATACATTCTCTGGATCGCCCCACCCGCCTCTTCTTCCGTCGTCACTCCGAATTGCTTCATGTAGCAGTTGATCCCGTTCGCCACCTCTCCTCTGCTCGTCTCGTGCTGATCATACACACATATATATATATATATATATATATATATGCGTATATATATGTGAATGTCTTGACATTAGAAATCACGGTTTGAAAAACAGACAAAAACCAAGAAAGGGTAAGCCTCTTTTTTTTTTTCCTGTTTGGTTTACCTTGTAGGAGACTTTGTCATTTGACAGGCGGAACATAGCATTTACGGTTTGGATGATCTTCGGTCTTGATCTCAGCCACTCGGAGACATTCTTCCGAGTTGGTATGTTCCATCCAGACAAAGCCGAGCTTCATCAGCAACTCGATCCCGGTCGTGACCAGCCCGACTTCCATGTACTCCTCAAAGGTTGGCACGTGACCTGCACGTGCCCATTGTGCTATTTGTAGGAACGCTCTCATGATAATCTTCAACTGCATTATATACATCACACCAGTCAGTCCTTACAAGATTCTATTGTAACACATACAAAAGCGGAAAAACAAAATTTGATATTTCATAACACTACAAGAATATATATATATTTGTTATTTCTCTTTCAAGAATGTATTGTGATTATATTGAAATAACTCACCGAAAAATATAGGATTAAAGTGTCATATAGTACCGATTTTTGATAGTTTCTTATAATTTATTTGTTTTGTTTTCGCTATGCGTTTATCTGAAGGTAAGTTTCATTACCTCTTCCATAGTCTCTTGCTTAATCTGTGATCTAACTTCTGGCTTAACTTCCCGTTCGACCTCTGACAAAATCAGCAACGCATGCCTAAGGACGATTTTCATGTAGTCAGGTATGCTGTCGATAACACCGAGATCCCACCTACACATATCAAGATTGCAACTTCTCTTTGTTAGTTTCCCTTTTTCGGGTAAAGGGTATTGAATCATTCACCTGCAAACTCTAAATATATGGTTTTGAATCTAAATCTTTGGCAGATGAACCATTAGACTATGGTTCTTGTTCAAGCATTCAAGAGATTGTATACAGTTCAAATTTACGGCAATGTTAGACAATATAGCGGAAATATTGTGTACATAAATGAAAACGTGAAGTAATATCGTCGAGCATACACCTTTCCAAGCCATGGACAAGACTGGCAACTTCAGGAAGAGTAACGTATGCATCACACGAGTCGTCCACTACAGTTACAGTTGCGATGATGAAGATCTTAGTAACCATCGTTCTCTGAAACGAATACCGTGGCTCGGGATATACTCCGACTGTAGCGAAATAGCTCTCCACAATTCTGTCTCTGAAGTATGGTAATTTGGACGGCAAGTCTAAGCCTTTCCACCACCTGCAAACAAACGAACAAATTCATGACTTTTAGTATAATGACGAGTATGTAGTCCCGCGATATCGAAAAGAGGGAAAAAAATACGTACTTTGAGACAATTTCTAGCTCTTGGATGTAATGAAGCTGCATACGTCGGAAATTGAGCTTCGCAAACTTCAGGAGAATCTCGTCACGATCTTCTTCTTGTTCGTAGAACGAGATGTATTCTCTTGCAAATAGTATTTCCATGTTATGATATCGAGGTTGATATAGAGCATTTCGAATGAGACTATATAGATGCGGGCTTGCGAGGTCTATCGGTAATGACTCCAAGTATTTCGATGTGAAACTCATCGCTTCATCCATGTCATTTGACGTCGTCCCCAAATGAGCGGCTTCGTATAAGCTTAGCATAGCTCTTACGTCCATTTCTAGATTCTTTCTGAACTTCCCATCATCTCCTTTAAATCTATCGAATACATCTACACAAGACGAAAATGATATATATAGCGTTATATAAGATTTATTTATGTATGTATGTATATGTGTATGTATGTTTTTGAATCAAAGAAATACGACTAAAAAAGTGTAGGATCCTTACCGCAAGACATGTTATGGCCGTAGAGCCTGAACACCTGAAACATGATGGAGATTGTGTGCAAATCATACTCGTCGGCGATAATTTCCGCCAAGTTTCCAAAAGCACGATCGAGGGTATCTTCGATCTCGCTCTCGAAATGGTACGAGAGGCCAAGACTGATTAGTAAATGGATCGATCGGATTCTCTCCTTGTCATTATCGCTCGGAGAAAACGCGAGCTTCTCCCTGACTTTAGACTTCAGATCTTCAATCTCTCTTGTCAGGCCATTGAGTTCCTACAAGATGACAAAGAATTAGTAGTATATGTCTCTTGTCCGTTCATTCATGTTCCAGATTAGGTTTTGTGTATAAAAACATGAGAAGGATTTGAAATTCGGGTAATTACTCGAAGAATGTTACCACAAATTTCGGCACTTACCAACTCATCCTCGACGGGGACGGAGAGGAAGCGGTCGGCCCAGAGAGAGGGCGGAAACTTGATCAATGGACGAGTGTTTTCGAGATCAGAATTCGTAGCATTCAGCTTCAAATTTTTCGAACGTTTCTCGGGGAAAGGGAAAGTAGGATTGTGAAGCCATAGATGAGGAGAAGGCGAAGCTTTAACACGACATGAAGCAGTCGTCCGAATTAAGGAAGGACGACTTGAGATCATTACAGGATCAACTCTTGTCCTAAATAACGTTGGTGCTTCCACTTTCAGTCATGTAGCAAAAGATACTCATGTATGTAGCTGGTGAGATATATATAGAGGAAAGCTAGACGTTTAAGAGGAGAGTGATGTTAGCAGGGTTGGCCGTTTTGAATTTCGGTTTAGTTATTTTTTGGTTCAAATTTTTAATTTTGGTCGGTTTTGGAGTTTATTGATAAACTAACCATTTGTAATAAATACAAGTTTTTATTTAGGTCAAGAAAATTCACATGTCTCGCATACCATGTTTATGTCGGATATTATATATATATATATGAATGTAACTTGCATATTAAGATTATGACTCAATTACTCAAGCCTAATCCAAACAGATGAACGTGACTGCACGCACAACGATCGAGGCTGCACATCAACATATTTACGACTTCACGTGGTAAGGCTTAACAATCCAGCAAACGAAAACGGCCGTAATAAATCGTCAAGGAATCTAGATTGGCAGTGCTTAAACCATTTATAAAAATAATCTTAATTCTTAGTAGCAGAAATCTCGGATGAACAGAATTAAGTCGGTACCTTTTCAAATACCCTTTCGGATAAAAAACGACGAGAGATGATCGCTGAATTCATTCCCAATCTTCTCCGAAGAACGAAGAAGAAGAGTGGTGATTGTGATTACTGTCGGCTTGATTATGGAAACAGAAAGAGCTTCTTGTGGTTTCTCCCCTTCTGTCATGCATCATAAAATTACATCAGTATATGAACTTGTCATGTAAATATGGTTTGTCTATTTCACAAGAGACTGCAGACGAAAAGTATTTCAATTTTCATTGGTGAGCTGAGCATAAAATTCATCAATAAATTCTACGAAACAAAGACTTAAATCAATCAATTACAGCATTCTGTATGTTCCCTTTAATCTCAGAAGTTTCTTATCAAGTTTTTTAAGAATGCTCATAGGACATGGATGCAATTCACATAAACCAGACAGAAGATCACACATCTTTCACAGTTAACACCAATCAATGATCTTTCTTTTATATTACAACCAAATCCTTCAAACTGACCATTGTTCAATCTCCCGAATCACCTCATTTCAGAGAAAGAAAACCTAGATTGATATCACACAAAACCCATAAATCAAAATTGAATCATCATATGGAGACCCGGCGAAGTTTAAAATCGAACAAGGAAAATCAACACCAACAAGAACAAGCAGATCTGAGAGAAAGTGCAAGCATAACATGAGAGAGCAGGAAGGTACCCAACACATGACGAAGGTAGCAGCATCAATGTGAGAGAGATTGACCCATTGGATTTAGATTTCAAGGAACAGAACTTCATCTTAAAGCTTGACCTCTGCAAGGCTCATTCACTATTTAACCTCTAAAAGACTCAGAGGGTTAAACAGGTAGCTGAGATGCCCATTGCCACTTTAATTTTGTCCTCTAATCGTATGCCTCTCAGTCTCGTTTACCGATATCACTTGCTGATACATTAGTGCTACATGCAGTCTTTTTAGAAGTTCCACGCTGTTTCATGAGCTTCCTCGGGTTGTTGCAACCCTTCAACACATCAGACATTGCTTCAGCCCTTTGCAGAATAGACACTCTACGATCTTTATCTGATGTATCTATGACTCCTTTGTATGTGTTTGGCAGATTTTTCGAATGTGAAAGAGAAGACATCAAATCACAGAGCTTCTTCACCATCTCTGTCATCCCTTTTGATCTTAATGCATCGGAGATCATCTTGAAGGTAATATACTGTGGTACTATTCCCTGTCTCACTGAATTCTCAAACTCTGCAACTGCTTCTCCGAACATGTCCAGCCTAATGAGCAGATGAATCAACATTGTGCTAGTTGCTAGGTCTGGATCGATTCCTCTGTTTTTCATTTCCTTGTTCACTTGCATTGCCAGGCTCAGCTTTCCATCCTCGCACAGCATTTTTAAGACCAAATGGTAAGTAAGCCGATCTGGGTTACATCCAACATCAACCAATTTCGAGTATAGATTCATGCCCTCTTGGGTTTTCCCATGTTTCGAGTAATACTTAAAGATATAGTTGTACGTAGTTGTTGTAGGAGCAATGCCTCGGCTCGTCATCATCTTGAGGATTTTGCTAGCACCAGATAAATCTCCACCCTTGCAGAAACCCTTCACTAATGAATTGTAAGTCGAGATGTTAGGACCCGGTTCACAAATGAAGAACCTCTCCATCATACTTAAAGCCTCCTTAAACCGACCCGCTTCACCTAAAGCGTCAATGATTGGATTATATATGATAAAATTAGGCTCGATTCCCATCTTCTTCATCTCTTCAACCAACTCAATAGCAATCTCAACCCGACGCATCCTGCAATACCCTTCTATTAGAGTACCATATGTGACAACTGTCGGTACCATGTTCTCGCTCTTCATCTCCGACCACAGCTTCTCTGCCTTCTTAAGTTTTCTTGAGCGGAACCATCCATTCAATAAAATGTTAAAAATCCGAACAGAAGGAACCCAACTTGGTTCCGTTAGCCTTCTCTTCTCGAAATACTCTGAAGCCGCTCTGACAAGCCCCTCTTTACAAAGGGTATCTAACAGAATCTCAAACAACTTCGCTTCCGAATCTGGTGTAGAAATGATGTCAGAATCTCTAGCAAATTCAAATGCCTTTATTGCTGACTTTACCATACCTGCAAGTAGACCGAATAGCTCAATTAAAGACAATAACCTAGCCAGGACCAGGAGACAAGATTCTGAGCAGAAGAATTGAGGAGAATTCAGACACAAAAGAAAGGTTCAGAATTCTCAGCTAAATCTCAAACTGAAGTGGAAATTGTATCCGTCTATTGTATTATCAATTATCCACATATTCTTTCGTATTATAATTACCAAAATTCCAATCGAATCGAAACGTTGATTCTCAGAAATCTTCATACCAGCACGCGCATACCGTCTGATAAGAACCACAAACGTATTTGCAGAAACCAACTCTGATCCTCCACTGCTTCCCATACGATCAAGAATCAGTGACCAAACCGACTCGAAATCCCGAGCTTTACCTAGAGTATTTATAACCAAATCAAACAACGAAGAAGACGTTTGAAACCCGGGTTTCCCCTCTGCCCATCTGTACACCGAATGCAGCAGCTTCGGCGATGAACCGAAGCGATCAAAAAGTGCTTGAACCAATCCATTACTCGGTTCGATCCCAGTCCCATCCAGGGCGGACTCGAGATTCGAATCAGGAATAATATTAGGATTTTCAAGGATATTCGAAATGGTGGAGAAGTCAGACTGCGCGAAATCGGAGAGAGAGATTTGCTGCGATGGGATACATCTAGAATCCGGCGGGGAAGGAGATAGCGGCCCTTGAATTAAAGAGTTGACAGGGATAGAGACCCGTGAACGGGAAGAGGAGAAGAGTTTCTGAAGAAGAAGTTGATGGTGATTAGGGTTTAAGGAGAGTACGCGACGGAAGGAGGAGACCAGACACCTCATTTCAGTCGTTGCTCAAACTGTAACCAATCGGTTCACCATTGAAGATTTTGACGGAAGCAGAGCGGTAAGGATTTCGGGTTTTGGGTTTTGGGTTTCGTGCCACGATCGATCGAGAGAGAAAATTTGGCGGAAGCAATTTAGGGTTTTTTGCGATTTCATAAATCAATGAAGGTCATTACACAACGTCCACAAGTTCAGAAGCATCCTAAGAGTCTAAGACTGGTAATTAGGGTTTGACAACTGGGGAGGGTCATTGTCGGATTTCAATTGAAGTAACATTCCAATTCGATTTTTATTTTTTAAAAATTTACGTATCCAATTGATTATTTTTTATTATTCCATTTATATTTATATTTTAATTTTTTAAAAATGTCATTAAGCCATTCATTCGAATAGTGTTTGCAAGATAACAATCTGATCCTGTATTGATCTGCCGGCATCATGCTTACATTGCTTTTTATGTGTGAGTCATTCTGATCTTGAGACAGGAGTCTAAAGTCAAAGCACATGAACAGAATCTGACTGTTTCAGATTATAATCGAAGATTTTCTGATTATGCTCGCTTGATCCACATCTTGATGTATATATATATACACACACACACACGCATGATTCATTTTTGGCAAGATACAAATTCAATTGAATTAGAGATGAGACTGGAACGGGATTGGCCGAACCTCAACTCCTCAAGAACGTTAAACCGGCAAATGACCCTGCGTATACCGGAACCAAACCGGGTTAAACCGAAAACGTTCCATCATTCTCTTGACACTGGCATTTCAAATGTCTCAAGAAACAAGAAGCGTAGGGACAAAACGAATGTAAGCAACACATATCTCACAATCAGTAACACTCTTCAAGGCTCGAAATGAAAGCTTTACCCTAATTCTTCTAGACTCGGCTTCAACCAGAAAAGGAAAGAATCCGACAACTTGCTATTCCCCATCCCGTATCCGAATCTAAACCCTAAAACCCGAATCTAAACCTAAAACCCAAGATCGACACCCTCTCTACTGTACAACAGCTACCTCTGCGGCATGCATGAACTTCCCTCGATCCCGATTCAAAAAGAAAAAAAAAAAGAAGCCAAGAATGATTTGCCGGTTGGTGATAGATATAGGCCAAGGTCAGTCAAGTTGAGTTATGCTGCCCCCGAAGAATCCGGGGTATCGACAGAGTCAGTTCGAACAGGCTCAGAACCAGATGAGTTGGTGGCGGATTGGGATTGAGCAGAACCTGTTTCTCTCTCTTTTGTTCCACTCTCTGCTCCTTCGAGCTCGGATTTCTTGGCAAATCGTCCTCCGCTAGCTCTCAGCCTTCTCATCGCGTGCTTGTGACGTGACTCGTGAAGATATGGCTGTGGCATGTGGAAAAACACATAGAAAGCTGAACCAATGTAATAAAGTAGAGATGAAGATGACAAGAATTTAACCAGGCAGCCTGGTCCAGGCTAGACGGTAAAAATATTAGGTTTTTAATTATCAGTTCCCATACCCGACATAAAAATCTGATCATCGGACACGGGTTTTTATTTGCCGTTTTCGTTGTGGCAAAGAAAAGCCATCGGCTAAAAATACTTAATTCTCTTTCTAACAAAAAAGGACACAAACGAACTGAAACTAGTAATGTGGTACAATGAAAATGGCAACCTGCATCAGAGCATTTTCTATAAACTATGATATCTCTTTTTTAACTGATAGTAAGCAACTTGATAGCAATTGTCAAAAACCGAGTCAGAACCAACAACTGAAGAAATGGAAATTACCTTTCTATCTTTAGTAACTTTCCTTTCAAGCTCCGCCTTGGCACGAGCCTTTCTTCGCCTTAGAATTCCCTCGTACTGTTTTGCATTCACATAAACAGGTTCTTGTGTCATGTCAAGTGGCAAAGCAGTTCTCTCGCGAGGCATCCCAATATATGGAGGAAAACCCTGGCAAATAGGGGGAAAAACAATTAAATGTAATCTGCCAAAAATTGCAAGACATGAGCTTTGTTTTTCAAGAAGGCGAGAGCAAGAACACCTTGAGGATCCTCCCCTCAATATTTAGTTCAGATTAGCCATCATACGAACTTAGACAACATAACAGTATAACACTAAATCTACCTAATCTAAATCAATTCCACAGTCCAACAAACGTCCTACAAATATGAAACCATCAGATCCTTCTGTGTTAATATTGAGCGGATTTTAGATTATATACCACTGGCTGATGACCATATGCTCCCATCATTCCCCCATAATATGCATCCTGATACGGATTTGATATACAAGCCTGCAAATGAAATGAGACAAGATAACAATCACTTCCAAAAATGTATTGCAAGATCTATAGTAAACACTAATTTCCTCTAAGAATTTGTGTTTCCCTCTGTCTGCTGCTGCATAATTTCTTCGAATTGATCCAAAGGAGTTCCTTAATTTCGCATGATTTCTTCAACCATTGACAGCGCACATGATTAAGCAGTAAGGATAAGGACACTATAGTGGAGATATTTCACATAATAAAATAACAGAAAACACTTACAATGTAGTGTCCAACAAGCTCCGGAGGTTGTGCAAGCTGTTGATCATGCATGACAGGCAAAGATGACATATGGGCTGAGTCATTCCCATCTTGTCCACGGTTTTCTACTGAAATTGGAAACAAATTCTATTACAAAACTATGTAAATGTTACATTTCCATAAGACATAGAAGGAGCGGACATAAATAAATAGATTAAAAAAGAACCCATTACTGGCATCTAAAAGACGTTACATTCAAAGTATATAAAGCCAGGTATGACAACAGACAATAGAGGCGACACAAAAAACTTTAATTAGTTGATCTCAAATTCAACTTTTAACGATACCTAACCTAATGATCTAAGCTTCATGACTTCATGCCTTTTAAATGACCAACAAAGCTGGAAGTAACCAAAACCTCAATCCCATATTCCCTGCCTACTCGACGATTGGTTCTTCGTGAAATTGCAAAACCAGGATTTATAACAATCTTCCTATGCTATTGCTAGGGATATTTGCAAGAAAGGCGAACCCTTTTGGCCTTTCCTTTCTTTCAAGAAATTTAGCTCATCGACAACTTTAGTCAATTGAAGTATGTCGCCGCTACAGAATATGTTGCGGCTAGCGAATGCTTACAAGTCCCATCGTTTTCTCCATTCAGTGCACCATCTTCAGATGCTGACTGAACTTCATTAGACTCCGAGCCGTTTGGGCATTCCAACGAAGATGAATTCGATGGAATTCCAGAAGGTCCCGCTTGGGGTTCCATACCGAAGGCATTATTTCGCCACCATCGTTCATGATACATCATCGGCTGGGTAACAACATGGGAACGGGCTTCTGCTTCATTTCCACTCCCAGGTTTCGATTGCATCTCCTGAAAGTACGTCAGCCATTGTGAATACGTTGACTCAGCCATTGAAAATATATTATTGAACATTCAACGGAAAGGCTCAGAACAATGATTAATCACTAGACCAAAGAATTCTCTGATCTCGACTACAGAAAGAGCATTTCTGGGCTCCCAAGCAAGAATTGCAGGGACCAATACCACACAACAACGCAATTTCATATTCATACAAAACCCACAACCCAAAACTTCTTCTAGCCTCGATTACACATATCGAAACACAAAATCTCATAAATACTAGTCTTTCATGAACCCTAGAGCTTGGCACCGGAATCATGATTCTATTTCCTTCTCGAACCCCAAAAAAGAAAATTCAGAAACGGTAAAGCAAAGCCATGATGAAATCAACATACCAGCAAGAATTCACAGCAAAATCCCCTCAACTCCAATAAATTTTAAGCCCCAAGATCTTCTCGAAACCCTGAAAACAAACCAATCACGAATTCAAAGATATTATAAAAAAGGAAACATATAGAAATCGAACACAAAGCAATTGAAAAGCTCGTAAAGAGAAGCGATTGGGGCACGACTCACAGGCTGGCAGCAAATCGAAGTATTTAATAAAAAGGGGAAAAAATCGGACCAGAGTAAAAACCCTAGGTTTTGGGGATTTTCTTTGGGAAATTGCCTCAAGTTGTAAAATTTTCTCTACTCAAAAAGGCCGAGAGAGGTTTGATTTGATGATATGATGCAGCCGAGTAAAACTTTTAGACACGTGTCCATTTATGAACAACGCCAGCACATACGCATATGGGGTCTTCCCTGGAGTGACGTCATCGTAGCTCTATGAAAAAAATTTCATTGCCGACCCGGAATTTGCAAAAATAATTTAAAAATTGGAAAAATGTTAGGCCCACGTGACATGCAAGTGATAGGTTGGAGCAAGTGACACGTGGGATATGTGGGGACCACATGTTCTCTCTACTTCGCTCTTTCTATTTATTTTTTTACACTTGTTTTTTTGTTGTCATCCAATCTCTTGAAGTACTGCGATTTTTATTTTTTAAAATAGTAAAAATCGTATCAAACGTATAATTAGATACATAAATTGTAATTATCACAATGAACAGATATAAATTATTTTAATAAAAAATAAATTCTTTATTTCGCTCTCCTAAATTTAGGATCTCGTTCGTTCTCACATTTTAAAATACGTTCTTAGATAACATATATTATACAATTAATTGTGTGATTAAAGATTAACTTCGGATTTAGAAAATTAAGTAGCCCAAGGTTTAGTGAATGTACTGGTTATAAAAAAAAAAACATATATTATGCATCCAAATTAAAAGTTTTTTGAAAAAAAAAATGCAAATCTTCGTTTCCCTACGTGAAACTTTATCATAAGTGGATTTGGGCTTGTCAGTTGGGCCAATCATATTATCGGTCTGTTAGGTCCATCAGCTTTGGTTTTGACAAATCAATAAAGATAATAACTATTTTTTCACATAATATATTTTAATACTCCCACCATAATTATATGACAAGCAATTTTAAAATGTTTATTATTTTCTGACTTAAAAATATTATTTTGAAAATTAAATAATAAAAATTCTCCAAAAGACCCGCAAATTTGACTACCGTCCAAAAGCGGCTCCGAGTCCGCTCCTCCCAATCTAACGGCTCACATTTTGGAATCTGGTTCTTTGTAGAGCGGACTCCAACCCTATATTCCAATTCCCTTGAATGTTCCCCACGCGCCCGTCACCGTTCACCGATTTAACCGGTGACCTAACCTTTAGTGTCCTCTCTCACCCACTCCACTCCCTCTCACCTCCTCTTCCGGTAACCCCATCTCTTCTCTCTCATTCTTTTCGTTTTAGTTTCAAAAGAAACGCATCTCTCTCCTCTCTTGCTCTCTCTCTCTCTTTCTCTCTGTGCAGCTTCGCTGATCCATCTTCTTCTACTTCTCCGTTTCTTCGTCGTCTCAGATTTGGTCAATTGGGTTCTGGCGTAGCCGGGTTTTGGATCGGGGAAAAGTGATTTTGGGAATTCGTGTGCGAGGATAGGAATTCGTGTTGTGATCTCCATAGGTTGGGCTATTTTCTTGGTGTTTTTTCCCCTTTTTATGAAGCTGGGACAGGGATGGAGGAGTTGATTTGTGGTAAATATATATATTTTTAATTTTTTATATTCTTTTTTTTTGTGGTTCTTCGGTATCGTTGTTGTGTTTTCGTTTGAGATGTTTTTCCATCTGAATTTTCAGCTGTTTTTTTAATTTTGTTGTTGGGTTCTGGAGATTGAAGTCAAATGGTTTGGTTTCATAGGGTTCTGAGATTGCGATTGTGGTTGACTGTTCATTGACTTTTTTCTTCATTTCTTCTTCCCCCACAGTTTTAGTTTATTATTTTGGTTTAAGGTAGTTGGAATCCGAATCTTCTGTTCTTCAAGTTGCTTATCTGTTTGGTGGTTTAGAGAATTTTCCGAGAAAATGTTTTCCCATGTTAGATAAGGATGATTCCGCTGGTCCTTGGGTTTGCTTTTTCCGGGAGAAATCTGATTTTTTGCAGGAAATTTCATGGATTTACAATTAGAGTTCCCACTAGATCAGATCCGACAGAGACGGGTTTGATTTTGATATTGGGATTGTAAATCTTCGAACTTTTCCTTGACGTAATGTCAAGTATTTACGTTACAAGTTTTTTTTTCCCTATTTTTGGGTCAATCTCTTGTATCTGTCTCAGTAGCATCCCTTATTTGTTGACTATGATTGAACCATGTTAGTCTTTTCCACAAGAATCCCTTTTTGATTTGTTATCATTTCTAAAATTTTCGTTCTTTTATTATATTTTCCGGGAAAAAATAGGTTCGTGCAAATGACGTTTTTTCTCCTTTGTTTCGGCATTTCAGATTTGGTGAAGCATGTATGATGTCTTGGACGAGTTGAATTCGGGCAATAACTCAACTTCATTGTCGGAACAAGAGAGTGAATCTCTGGCAAAAACAACTATGGACAGTTCCATTGATTCCGACTGCTCGTTCTCGGCCTTGCTCGAATTTGCTGCAGACAACGATGTCGAGGGCTTTAAGAGTCATCTCTCAGATGTGTCTTGTATCAACAAGATTGGTCTGTGGTATGCCCGTCGAAGGTTTTTGAGAAAAATGGTCGTTGAACATAGGACTCCGCTAATGGTTGCTGCCACGTATGGAAGTGTAGATGTTGTTAAGCTGATTATTTCGTTTCGGGAGGTGGATTTGAATCTGAGATGCGTTCCGGATAAGAGCACGGCTCTTCATTGTGCTGCGGCTGGTGCCTCTGTGAATTCTGCGGAAGTTGTGAAGTTACTTTTGAATGCAGGTGCAGATCCGAGCATTCCAGATGCTCACGGCAATCGCCCTGTGGATGTCCTGTCTGTGTCTCGTCTTGTTCCCAGTTCCAAGACAATCCTTGAAGAGATCTTGAAGAAAGACGGGCCGATTTCTGAAGATCTGAATGCTTCATCATCTAGCTTGGGATCGAGTTTCCGGTCTCGCTCCTCGTCACCGGATAATGTTTCCTCCTTACTCTCTTCGGATTCAGTTCTGTCACCGACGAAGCCAAATGGTGCTGATGGGCCTTTTGTCTCGGAGAAGAAAGAGTATCCAATCGATCCGTCCTTACCCGACATCAAAAGTGGCATTTATTCTACAGACGAGTTTCGTATGTTCTCATTCAAGATCCGCCCGTGTTCCCGGGCTTATTCCCATGACTGGACTGAGTGTCCCTTTGCACACCCCGGTGAAAATGCAACGAGAAGAGACCCGAGAAAGTTTCACTATACCTGTGTCCCTTGCCCCGATTTTAAGAAGGGTACCTGTAAAAGAGCCGATATGTGTGAATACGCTCACGGGGTGTTTGAGTGCTGGCTACATCCCGCGCAATACAAAACCCGCCTGTGTAAGGACGGGATGAGTTGCAACCGTCGGGTTTGCTTCTTTGCTCATACGAATGAGGAACTGCGGCCTTTGTATGCATCCACAGGATCTGGTTTGCCGTCTCCGAGGGCTTCATCTGGTATGGACATGGCCTCTGTATTGAACATGTTGCCGGGCTCGCCATCTGCCATCCAACATTCATTTACCCATCCCATGTCACCCTCCGGAAATGGCATGCCACATTCATCGATGGCTTGGCCTCAACAGAATATGCCGACATTGCATCTCTCTGGAAGCAATCTCCAGCTGAGCCGGCTGAGGTCTTCTCTCAACGCCCGAGATATTCCGGTTGAGGAGCTTCGGATGCTGCAAGATTTCGAAATGCAACGCCAGAAGCAGCAGCTACTTGGTGATGCATCCAGTCCTCGGTTCATGAATCATTCTGGTAGACCAAAGAGCCTTGCCCCATCAAATCTGGATGAATTTTTCTCGTCCGAGCTTTCGTCCCCTCGTTTTTCTGACCAACTCGCCGGGTCATCTATTCTGTCGCCTTCGCACAAATCTGCACTACTGAATCAGTTGCAGAACAAGCAGAGCATGTTGTCTCCGATCAAAACAAATTTAATGTCTCCAAAGAAAAACGTCGAACACCCTCTGTTCCAGGCCACATTCGGTGTCTCCTCGTCGCCGGGAAAGATGTCGCCTCGAGCTGTGGAACCTATATCCCCGATGAACTCCCGTCTTGCAAGTCTTTCCCTTCGTGACAGACCGCAGGTACATTCCCGCAGCCTCAGCTCCCGTGAACTCGGGTCTAGTCTCTCATCAGCTGATGTCGGTTCACCTCTAAGCCCGTGGTCGAGATGGGACCAATCCAAGGGCAGCGGCAATGATAATGTGGATTGGTCCGTTCACTCCGACGAGTTGTGTGTCTTGCGAAAGTCTCATTCTTTGGCTAACCCGTTCAGTGAGGCCGACGGTCCATGGGTTCAGCCGAGGAACATTCGAGCCACAAACCCTGGAGGAGGGCGAGCGGGTCAGGAGGGTTCGAGTCGGGGGAGCGATGCCATAAACGCATGGCTTGAGCAGGTGTAGCTGTGGGCCATACAGCCGGCGGTGGATAGCTTAGTTCATTCACACCAAAGGATTCACAATCTGTGAAGCTGAAACTGATGATTTGATTCGTTTAGTTCTTCATTCAAGAAGCATGGTAAGAAGCTTTAATTATTTTTTGCATTTCGATGGAATTCTTCATTGTTTGGGTTGTAGATATTTCTCATCATCTGACAACTATCAGATCTTGAGCGTATCTCTTCTCCTCATTGTTTCTCCTTATTTACAAACCTCTCACTCACTCCTGATGAATTTGTCAACAACAACATTGTACGAGGAACCATAAGAGTAATCGTTTCAATAAGACTCCTTTTTTAATTTGGTTCTTCGATTTCTCTTTTAATTGTTGCCAGATATTTTTTGTTTCCCTTATTTGGAGCTGGATCTTGTTTGTATTGTGTTCCACGTTCAGACATTGGTATGTCATCATCTTCTTCACGCTACGACAGTAAGGCCGTACGAACTATCAAAACTATGAATGCTTACAGTGAACCAGAATATTTTTTCCAATCTTAGAAAGCTCTTATTCTGTCACAATGAATTCAAGAATCACAATCTCATCAAACCTACGATTTTAAAATCTCATCCGAAGGAACAAAGAACCAAAAAAAAAGGAAGAGAGATCACAGACTAGACCAGAACAGCGCAACCACCCCATGAGTTGATTCGATTTACCATAAGCCGATGAACTTCCACCAGACTCCACCCACGCCAAGCCAAATGAGAATGTTGACTACAGAGATGATGAAGCCGTAGCCCCACCATTTCGCCAGCGGCACATAGTTTGCGCCATAGAAGACGGGTGCTGACCCGATTCCGTAATGAGTGAGTCCTCCCATTAGGTTGGAGAGGAATGCAAGAACCATGGCTGCAAAGTAGGGCGGAGTGCCCAGAGCTGATGCAACTGATAAGAAGGCCGTGAACATTGCCCCGATATGAGCTGCTCCACTTGCGAAGAAGTAATGAGAGTAGAAGTAGAGGAGGACCAAGATCCCGAATGATAGTTGCCACGACAACCCGAGCCCACCCACGAACTGAACCGCAACCAAAACCCACCATTTTCGTGGAAAATCAGCATAGAAAGAGGATTCATCAAATTATTAACATGCTTTACGGATATATGTACCTTGACAACGGTTTGGCTGAACCATTCGATGAGACCATATTTGTTGAGGTAGCCAGCCATTGCAATGAGGGCGGCAAACCAAGTGAGTGTATCCCAAGCAACGGCCTCGCCTAAGCATTCCTTCCATGTCACGACCCCTGTCACGAGGAGGATCGACAGTCCAAGAATTGCCGCTGTCACGGCATCCACATTCAACTTGCCTCCAAAGACCCAGAGGCCAACCTGTATCGAAAGAAAGACATGTATGAACAATGAGACTTGTAATCGAAACAAGAATAACAGGAAGATTAGCCAAGACACAGTCAAGTTCCACCAAATGCCAATCCTTGGTCCTATCATACGAATTTCACTCACTCACAAGGTGAAAATACTACAATTTACTCGATCCAAAACACGACATTATTAAGCAGATGTGTCACTCAGCACACCATGGAACACAGATTCATAACATTTCACTCGCCCATATGCACAAAACAGTATACAGCAACCAAACTATATCCTATTACTTTAGCTAAAACGCAAAACAACAAGCAGCAAGAACTCCAATGCCAGTGAAAGCAGACATTTTGATCGTTATAATGCACCAATGGGCATGCAAGGAACAAGAACATAGTCATGGAGCAGAGTAGCTATTATACCGTGAGAAGCAGAGTTGCAGACATTATAAGCTCGTTCTTAGACATTGGTCCCATCTTCTCCAGCTTCTCCTCAGCTAACTTGGGAGCATCAGGACTACTCTTAACAGTAGGAGGGTATATAATATACAAAAGCAATGGGACAACGATCAGCGACGCGATTCCAGGCACGATCGCAGCCTTCGCCCAATCCGTCCACCCAATCGTCTGCTTGATCGTATTATACGCCAAATTCGCACTCAATGGATTTGCAGCCATGGCTGTCAGAAACATCGATGAAGAAATCACTGAAGTCTGAAAGCAAGTAAGCATCAACCATGCCCCGAGCTTGTGCTCGGTCCCGTCGCCGGCGTTGCTACCGCAAGCGACGCAGAGAGATTTCACCAGAGGGAGGAAGATTCCACCGGCACGAGCCGAAACGGAGGGAATCGCTGGAGCTAACAAAGCTTCACTGAAAACGAGACTGTAACCGAGACCCAGAGAGGAACTTCCGAACAATCGGACGAATTGGTACGCGATTCGGTTCCCGAGCCCTGTTTTGATGAACCCGCGAGCGAAGAAGAAGGCGAGAGCGATGAGCCATGGAATCGGATCGCCGAAGGCAGAGAAGGCGGCGGAAAAGGTTAGGGTTTTGGTGAGGACAGAGGCTCCGAGGCCCATGAGCGCGACGGCACCGAGAGGGAGAGGCTGCGTGATGATTCCGACGATCGTTGCGAGGAAGATGGCGAGTAGCTGCCAAGCGCTGCGCGAAACTCCGTCGGGGACGGGGACGAACCAGAGGATCACTCCGGTGGCGATCGAGGCGATGAGCGGCTTGATCGCAGCTCCTTGCCATGGCGCCGGAGCAGGAGCAGGAGCCGAAGCCGCCCGCCCAGAGAGGAACTTCCGAACAATCGGACGAATTGGTACGCGATTCGGTTCCCGAGCCCTGTTTTGATGAACCCGCGAGCGAAGAAGAAGGCGAGAGCGATGAGCCATGGAATCGGATCGCCGAAGGCAGAGAAGGCGGCGGAAAAGGTTAGGGTTTTGGTGAGGACAGAGGCTCCGAGGCCCATGAGCGCGACGGCACCGAGAGGGAGAGGCTGCGTGATGATTCCGACGATCGTTGCGAGGAAGATGGCGAGTAGCTGCCAAGCGCTGCGCGAAACTCCGTCGGGGACGGGGACGAACCAGAGGATCACTCCGGTGGCGAGCGAGGCGATGAGCGGCTTGATCGCAGCTCCTTGCCATGGCGCCGGAGCAGGAGCGGGAGCCGAAGCCGCCGGAGAAGGCGAAGAAGCTGCGGCGGAAGCGGAAACAATGGCGGATCTCCGGTGAAACGGGGATTTCGTGAGGGACTTGAGGGAGATCGGATGGAGTGTTCTTGAATCAAGGGATTTGAGGGGTTTCGGCGAATTGAGAGAGAAAGATCTCTTCAATGGAGGAAGACCGAGGGATCTGGATTTGGGGGGAAATGCGAGAGAGAGGGAACCAGAGAGAGCGAGAGACGCCATTGTTGCAGCGTCTGCGAGAGAGGAGAGAGTGAGAGGAAGGAGAGGAAGGTGGGGTATAAGAAGGGAGAAGGTGGGCCGTTGGATGAAGATCGGACGGTAGAGATGGGGCGTGGAATACACGCGAGGCGAGTGTTTTTGGCGTCTTGCCTCGTGAGGTGGAGAATAGAGATCTCCGCCTCTGTGAAGGAAGTGAGTGAGAGAGCCCTATGTTGTTTCCTGGCTATTTTATTAACAGAATTTTAAAATTTTAAAGAAAAAAAACTATCCCTAATTTATTATTTATTTTCCAAAATAATATGCACATTTTTCTTATCTTCTCTCTAATTAAAATCATGGTAGTTTATATTCTCTTTGTATATGAGAACATTAATAAATGAATAATTAAAGGGATTTTTATAGAATAAATTTAATTTTATTATGTTTTTAATATTATATTATTATTTTTTACAATATAAAATATGGGAAAAAATATATATTTTCATAATCCCTATCATACCTGCCAAGTGTCACCTATTAATCTTACAAATTCACGTCAAGTCATTCCAAATTTATTTTCCTATATAAAGAGGTTTCTCATTTGTTTAAAAAAATTCTTCGAAATCTAATACAATTAATATTTTCCGAAAATGAATGTGAAGAAAATAATAATAATAAAAATAAGGTTATTCTTTAAGGGGAAAAAAAAAGAATCCGACCTCGTTCTCATCCACCAAATATGAGGAAGGAAATGTCGTAGAAGATATGGTGGGCGAGGGAGATGCGCCACGTAGACACGAATGAAGAAAATATTGGACCAATTGGGATGGTAGAAATTATAAAAAAAAAATACCATTAAAAAACGAGAGAAACATGAACGAAAAAGAGTTAGAAATTATTTTTTATTTATTGCGTTTTAAAATTAATTTTGATATTAGAGAAAAAAAATATGATTTATAAAATATACTATTTTATGTATAGATTACAAATTAATTTTTTATTTGGCATAATTTACAAATCCCTTTTTAATTATTGCGCCAATGAAATGTATTTGCACATTCTTCCTTTTTATTTTTTCTTATTTAATCTAATAGTTGAATTATATTATACAACATGTAAAAGCTAAAATTAAATTTCATACCTACAATCATTTTAAAAAAAAAATAGTCACTGTTCTATAAGTCTCTATCTTTGAGATCATATAATTGTAAAAAAGTCTTCGGATCATACTTATTTGTCAATTATATATTAGCGCACAATTGTATTAACGAATTTTATTTCATTATCTCATAATATATATATATATATAACAAATAAATAAAAAGCATTGAGGCATTATTTTATATATATATATATATGCAGCAAGAACTCCAATGCCAGTGAAAGCAGACATTTTGATCGTTATAATGCACCAATGGGCATGCAAGGAACAAGAACATAGTCATGGAGCAGAGTAGCTATTATACCGTGAGAAGCAGAGTTGCAGACATTATAAGCTCGTTCTTAGACATTGGTCCCATCTTCTCCAGCTTCTCCTCAGCTAACTTGGGAGCATCAGGACTACTCTTAACAGTAGGAGGGATATATATATATATAAATGGTTCAATCTTTCTATTTGTCCCTTCCTTTGTTTGACCTTTTGAAGGGCGGGCGAGCCACCATATTCCTGATCTGATGCTTTGAGGCAGAGATTCTGTGTTCGCCGAAACACGGAATATCGAAAATACCCTTTCGAGGACAGAAGCTGTGTTCCGAAGAACTTGAAGAGTCTTTCTGTGTGTAAAGAATCAATCTTTTGAATTGGTCCCGCTCGTGAGCTTCACGGCCTTTTCGCTATCTAAAAGTTATAACAGAGAATATTCTATACGTATGTGTATATAATATATGTATATATATATATTTGCTTATGATATTGACGTGAAAATAAGATAATTAATGTAATGATATACGGTCGTAATTTACACCAATGAATCACGTAAAACTAACTTGCATTTAGTTTATTACATCCCATTTTATTTAAATATTTTTCTCATTGCTATCTCATAACTAGGCGCCGACCGAATTATTGTTTTCTACAGTTCTTTTCACTACATTATTGTACAAAACTATGATCACAGAAATTAGTTATGCATTTGTATTGTTTCGGAATATACGTAGTGGACCTTTAGATTCCATTAAAGAGCCATATGATGGGCTTGGATTGGGCTTTTAAAGCCCAATTGATTTCTCCGACATAAGGTCCAAACTTGTAATGAAGCTCTCACACGAGCAGGGACTTCATAATATCTATTTGTGTGTGTATACATATATATATACGCTGTATGTATATGTATGCATGTCTTGTTGTTTCCTTTATTAAAACATAGATTAGTCATTACACTATGAAATCAATCCTACATTACAATCGGCAAAGATAGCTCGAAATGATAAAAGGCTTTTGACTTCCATCTATATATTCAAGAATGTATACATGTATATGTGTATGTAGCTAAAATTTACGAGTATTATTTTCGAATAAAAAATAAAAAAGGAAAAAAAAAAGTCTAACATTCGTTTGGTTTGAAGTTGAAGGAAAAGGAAGGGACCTCCGTATTGCTCATCAACTCCTCAAGATCCCAATAACATTCTTCCATTCTCATACCCTCCACACCATTCCAAAGGTTCCCTCCTCCGTTTGTCTCTTCTAATTTGTTAATGTTGTTGCATAAGAAGTTGTCAATAAAGCCAATGTCACTTGCAATATCTGCTTTATACCAATTAGTTTCTTCAAAACCAACATTCTCCAAAGTAGGAAAGTCAAATTCCCCTTGTGCCCTCGTGTCAACTCCACAGAAACCATCACCACGAGGGCCAAAACCGTCATTAGCCAACTGGCTGAAGCCATGGCGATGGAGCATGGGAAATGGGTTGGCTAGGTCGTGGTTCAAAGACATAGGAGATGCCGCCGGGTTGTTCAACCCTTGCTCTTTCAAGGACATGAAGCTTCCGATGATGTCTTTGAGCTCCAAAGACGAGGAAGAGGAAGACGAAGACAAAGTCTCGCTCGTGTTTGGTGATAGGGACGAGTTCATAGCATTGCACGTTGACGACATGCTCTTTATCCTTTTCTTGATTGTTGAATTCCAAAAGTTCTTGATTTCATTGTCGGTCCGACCCGGCAACCGAGCTGCAATTTGAGACCACCTATATATGCAAAATAAGAGAAGATATATTGTCATAAACTAGCAAAGATTCGTTTGGACAAAGGCACATATGCATAGAAGTTATCAATGCTTCCTTATAATGAGACCGCGAACGTGTACTTGATATATAAGTGCATGGTTTGCATGGGATGAGAATTACAGGAACTGAAATACGGAGCATGGAGAGGAGTGACGTCATCTGTAATCTATGTTTGTATATATATGTATGTGTGCATCCATGCAATATATATGTGCGCATGCGCATACACACACACACATATATATTAGATGAAGTAACCTGCGTCCACTTGTATAGAAACAATAGTACTTAAAAATCATGCCTCAAATAAATGATTTTATTACATATAATTTTGGCTAACAAACTTTGATATGTTTGTATCTTCTTTCCGTATATTCGATATAATTTTGGCTAGCTCGAATCTATATGGGATAATAGAATTTCATATGAATAGCTCACATTCATAGATTAGTGAGTCCAAAAATGTAGAGAAATTTATGATAGATTTATTTTCATAATTAAAAATAAATTAAATCCTAATTAATTCTATGAAGATTGGAACACATGGGTGAGTGATTTCATATGTATAGTCAAGATTATAATGATTACATCATTTACAACATAATTCATTAGATTTTCTTATTCTATGAAGATTGGAACACATGGGTGAGTGATTTCATATGTATAGTCAAGATTATAATGATTACATCATTTACAACATAATTCATTAGATTTTCTTATTAAAATATGGATAAAAATTAAGGTAGAGAAAAAAAAAAAAAAAAAAAAAAAACCCTAATGAAGACAAGAGTAGATAGATGTATTGAGTGTATAAGACAAAAGTCACTTTCAGAGAAAGATGAAACACACCACGACTAACGAACTTTGTTCACTTCTTCCATGTGAATGTCTCATAACTACTTTGGAATTTCCCTTCACCTACTTTCTCCTTTCATATAAAATAATAATAATTTTTCAACCTTTCTTACAAAACAATCATTGTCTTTAAAATCAAAATATTTATTTTGACAACAAAGATTCATTCGCCAATGAAATCAATTTCAACCCTCTAGGTTCCTTTAGTTAGTTTGCGTTGAATTCCATCGCACAAATTTGTTTGCTACATATATATATATATATATATATATATATACACAAGAAAAACACGTGGGAGTTGTATATATGTAACTTGTCAAATTGATGAAAAAAATGCACCGATATTTTTTTTTTTTGAAAAATGCACAAAAAGTCTCGGAAAAATATCGACTTTGAAACCATAATCTATTTGCGGTGATGAAAGGTTACAATATTGCATATTCCCCTAGTAAAAAAATCTTATATGGGTAATATATTCTGGAATATATTTAAATGCTTAGTTCATAATATGATATAAATCCGACCAGAGAGTTTTCTTTTATGCGTAAATGAATGCAGAACCATCGTGCAAAAAAAAAAAGAAAAAAAAAGAAAAGAAAGCAAACCATATGAAGCAACTTCATGCAACAAAAAGAGGAAAAGTCCAAATAAAGCAACCATAATATTCCCCCACTATGTTCCACATCCTCTCACTTTTAATGGTGAATAAGTACATATATCAGTCAATTTGGTAAAATTATGTGTTCGTACATCAGAAATCAAAATTCATGTATAGTATATAATATAACACATATATATATATATATGCATATATGTATTAGGGATGGTTTATTTAGTTAATAAACGAATAACCCAAAACTATCTGAACCAAATAATTTATAACCGTAAACTAAACCCGAATAGTTATTATTCCTTCAAAATCGAATTGAATCTCAACCAAACCGAATAAAAAAATTATCCAAAAAATATATATTTTTTAAAAAATGAATATTTCGTTCAACAAAAACCGAAATCAAACTGAATTCAACATTAAATTTGTTTATAGATTTTCAAAAACTGAAATAAACGAATGCGCCGAATGGAAAACGAATAAGCTTTAAGCCATATCCCCTACTATGTATACCTGTTGCCTAGTATAGAGTGCAAGCGAATGATGAGATGTTCTTCGTCGGGAGAGAAGGCGCCGCGTTTGAGGTCGGGGCGGAGATAATTGATCCAGCGGAGGCGGCAGCTCTTCCCGCATCTCTGGAGGCCGGCGTTTTTGGCCACGTCACTCCAGCACCCCTGTCCGTTTGTCAGCATGTACTGCATCAGCTTCCCATCTTCCTCTGGTGACCAAAGTCCCTTCTTCATCTTCTTACCGGCCGTAGAATGATGGTCTGGTTTCCTCATTTCTGTTGAGGATGAGAGAGATTTTGGGGTTTGCTTATGTCGTTTTTCTCAAGAGAGTTGTATGTTTTTTTGTTGTTTTTGGGGTTTGCAACTATAGGGTTTGGAAGGTGTAGGAGAGTGAAGTGGTTATATAATGTGTTTCTCTGTGTGTGTGTGTTGAGAGAGATGTAGAGAGAGATAGAGAGAGAGAGGGAGAGAGAGAGAGAGAGAGAGAAGACTTGATGAAGGGAGAATGATGATAACGATGAAAGAGATGTTTGTAGGGTTTGCTTACATTTCAGGAAAGACACCCATAAGATAACAAATTCTTGATTCTTTTTTAATCTCAAATCCTCAAATATATGTGTATGTATATATATATATATATATGTTTACTTATGCCCATACTCTCTCTCTCTCTCTCTCTCTCTCTCTCACATACACACAACAAATATGGTTTGCCCCTTAGCTTACAAACAACGGATCCATGCTCTTAGAAAACAATTTTTCTCCCATGATATGTTAGCATCCATAATTAGATTTAATATAATAAACCATATATACATATATACATTAAAAATACACATTTAAAAAACATACTAGTTTGAAATCTTTCAAATATTGAAAATTTAAGATCATTTGTTCCACAATATATAACTAATATATACATATGTATTATATATATCATACTATATTCAGATTACACACCCAAACAGATATATCTCTGTATATATTTAATTTCCTGGAGAGAAGATATAACGTTAGTTGAAGGGTCAGAAACGAAAACGGTTCCGAGAGAGACCCGAGAGAGGGAAAATGCAGAGACAAAAGTGGCAGTGGTTCTTCTCTTTCTCCTGCCCTAAGGAAAAAGATGTTCCCCTTTTGCCTTTTTGACGTATATACGACTGTTCCTATTAGTTTTCTTCATTCCCAAGGTGATGAATTATATTTTTAATAAATTAAAATGACATGTCATGTCATGTGCGTATATATATGTGTGTGTGTATGTATGTATGTATATATATCACCCATTCTTCATTCACGCATTCATTCTCATATTTCTTTTCTTAGTTGTTTTATGGTACTTAATAAGTTATACATATATGTGTGTGTATATATATATATTTGTTTGTTCGTGTGAGGCTGAGCACGAGCCGAGCAAAGCAAATATTGCTTAGGCTTCACACTAAGGTCTCTTTCTCTCGCACCAACACGTATACTTGAAGAAAGATAATTATGATAATAAAGAAAATATTACAACATTTAAATATAATGTGTTTCACCAATATAAACGTGGCTCATGCGTTTTAGGGCTCATATGGCTCATAATGTCAAATATATTTTGCCCACCCATATGTTAAAATAAATATTCTTTCATTACACGCAAAATACACGTATAATTTAAAGAGCATGCATGTAAAATTAAAATATAACCAGCGTTTTTTTAATACCGAATAAGATCTCTAGTCTTGTCCTACACATAAGCGGACTAAAATGGTCGTTTCGTTGTAATTTTCCCATAAGAAATATATGTTACAAGCTTTATGATGACGATTTCATGGCATGAAAATCAATTTGATGTTGAATATTTAACACAATAATATATCGACGTATTTATATAAGCAAAATTTTAAACTCTTTCCTTGCCGCCACGTAATCTGCCTATATAGTAATTTTTTCTAGATTTTTTGTCTTTAAGTTTGTAATTGAAATTTCTGAGTTAATATATATGATAATTGCATGATTTATTAACCTAATGTTATGTCTACATGTCATAAATATTATGTTATATTGTTTTTACGAGCTTATTTTCATTATACTAGAGGAATGTAATACATGTAAATATATATGTTACGAACAGTCGAGAATAATTATATTTTTTAAGTTTCTTTTCCATTATTTAGATATCAATTTTTCTATTTTCAATTTCTAATCATTTTTATGATTGCTATGTATACATAAACACCCAAGATTTCTAGATTAGTCATGTTGTAAAGTTGGAATAACATCAGTGCAAAAGCATTTACATTTTCATCAAACAGATTATTCAGATATTGGATAAAATAATATTCTAAGACTAGTTAGGGTAACAATAATTCATGCTTAATTCCTTGTAAAACAAGAACAACACAATAAACCAATACCGATATTCTAGATCCAAATGATTTTCATAACATTATAAAACAAGATTTCGGAGCTTATATAGTAGCAACTTGTATATAAACAATGCATGACATCACACACATATATATATATATATATATATATATATATATATATATATATGGGATTCATAATATACAGTTTTCTTAAATATTGATAAAATATTTACTAATTGGGGAAGCAATTATCACTCATGAGAAGCAAAGGCCCCCAAGAAGGAAAGCTAACAAACCACCATTGGATCATTTCATTAGCTTAAGCTTGAATCTTACTTTTTAGGGTTATACACATTAATTCACACACACATACATACATATATATATATACATATAATGCGTGCGTTTTGTAATCTAACTATGAGATCATTAAAGTGAACGGATCGTTTTGGTGTGTACCTTTCTTGTCGTAAGCTCTGAAGAAAAGAGTTAAAAGAATCAATTATGCATTAACACACGACCAATAGAGTTAAATGCAACATGGAAGCCTCTGAACGAGAGATAAGGTTCGCGTTCGGTTTCGTCAACGCAAACTGAGATTTTATTCAAACCGGGATGAGAAGACCCAGATTAAAGTTAACCGGACCGGCGTGACACGGACGAAATCAAATTACGAAAGGGCAGTTGTGCTGGTTGATTAGGTCAAACCGGTTTCAATTTTCTTTTTCTTTTCTTTATTCTTTCCTCTTTGATTTTTCCTCCAAAAAAGGATCGAATCTTTGTTTGTCCTTTTCTTTTTCTTTTTTTTTTCTATTTCTATTTCCAAGTAAAAGAAAAAGAAGTTTTCGGATCATGACTACAAACAATGAACAATCCGACCGTTTCGTTATATTCTCACGTTAACCAATTGGGGTTTTCAGAATATGATAGAATTAAATCGATATTTAAATTTTTTGATGTTATCTTCTAATGTCAATTCACATTTCAATGGTTGTTAAATGACAAAGATCAAAGTATAAAAATGACCATTAAGAATAAAACGCTCAGCTAGAAAACAAATAACAAAATAACATAATTATTTATACTCTTGGTCTTGTTTTAGGGTTAAGTGTGTGTTTGTTCTTGTATACTTTTAAGATGTTGGAAATATTTATCAATTTTTTAGTAAATATGTAAATGATAAAAACCTATGAAAAAATAACGTAAATGAAAAATCCATACATTTTATATTGATGTTTTTTTGTAAATATATCTATATATAAATTTGGAGGAATCTAAAAAAAGATTTCAGAACGTCCTAAAACTAAATTAGATAGGAAGACGCAAATTTTACATTAATGTAAATAAAAATGTATAGAATGTATATTTAAGAGGATAATAAATAAATAAATTAATAAAGTAACTAATACTTTTATAAATATTTATATCATAACCCATGATGGATTCAAATTTCTCTCTCGAACACGTTCAAAATTAAATGCTTGTCACAACCGTTACAAAGGTAGATTCATCTCTAGAAAAAGCAAAGATATATAATGAAAAGATATGAAGACATTTTATTTTCTTTGTTTTTGTCTCTATTATTTTCAAAGAAATGATTTTATTAATAAGCTAATGAAAAATTAAGGATAATTAGTGGAAGAAAATGACAAGCAAATAGAGAATATTCCAATGAGGAGAAACCATGGAGTTCTAGAATTGCAAAACCCCAAATAATCTTATAGCCTTTTAGGTGTCATTACTTGCTTGGCGGTACTTCTCGGATTGGTGTTGGCCCATATTTTCTTTTCATCAAATTTAAACTTTGTAATAAGAAAAAATAATGACACGATGCTGAATTTATTATTTACAGAAATGAGCTTAATTTTGGCTTATATATATATATATATATATAAAAGTTGAGGAATCATTCCAATAATAAATAGAAATTAAAACAAAAAATCTTGAATTTTTAAAGAAGTATATGTGACGACATTGAAAATTTTAAACAACCATTTTCCATTTTTATAAGGTGAATAGATATTCCGTTGGAGATGAAAATTAAATGCTTTTATTGAATTATTTGTACTACCAAAATACATCTTATCTTTTTGTAGTTTATATAAAAAAAATCGCTTCAAATTAAATTTTGTTAGGTACTGATACATTTGGATTATGGAGCACTAGTGTTATAAAAAGGGGAAATTCTATATGGATTATAAATCTTAAAAAATTATGACTAATTGTAATCAATTCAAGAACCTAACAAAAAGAAAATTCAAAAGATATTGCAACACTGCACATGACATGAGAACTCTTTATGCGTTGTCAATTAAATATTCGTAGAAATTATGAATATTCATCGATAAAAAGGTGATATTCGACAAAAATGCACTGAATGCATCATTTCATTGCTTCTTTTGCCTCTCCTCAATCTTTGTGCAATAGCGTTTCTAGAGAAATTGTTATAAATGTGGAACCCAATTTGATTAAGTTTTTATTCATATTGATAACTTTTACTCTTATAAACTTTTGTTTTGAAAATTTCTCAAATCCTTCTCATAATATATATAAGTTTGATATCAAATTTGGATTCAAACAGTAGTTTCGATGCATAATGAAATAATATGGATGTAAATGTTTTGGAATATTAAAATTTATATTATAATTTCTCTAGGTATGTTAGGTGGAACTAAAATCTAAGTCGAATGTAGTTTGATTAACTTAAATTTAGTTAATTTCTATTTTATACAATAATTTTTATAAATGTATTATATTCCAAAATAAAACTTTGGTGATTGAACAGTGTACCACGTGAATTTAATTGGTTCCATCTTTAAAATAGAAAATAAAAAATAAAATTAGCCGTGCACTTTCCACCAAACTCATTGGGGCATTATATTCATAAAAAAAAATGGTGGTGTTGATGAAACAAAGCAAAGAAAATTATCCATCCACTAACGAATGGATTATTTATAGTTATGAAATAAGTGGCGAAGGAAGATTCGTACCGGTAAATGTCACA